GAAAAAAAAAAAAAAAAAAAAAAAAAAATCCAGTACCCCTGTAATACCATCCTCTCAGAAGGCTGAGGCAGGAGGATCACCTTGAGTTCCAGGCCAGCCTGGGCTACATAGTGAGATCCCATCTCAAAAAATAAAAAGAAGAAAGATTTATCCTGGTTCACAATTTCAGTACATGCTCTCTTAGCTCCATCCCTAGGGGCTTGCCGCCAGCATGGTATATCATGGCAGGAGAGTGTAGTGGAGGCCTATTCCCTTCATGGTGGTCAACTCTCAAAGAGAGAGCCAGGAAGAGGTTGGAGTTCAGAGATAGTGTGTCCAGTGCCTGTCATCCTCTGAAGGTGACTATTTATACATGCTCATGTGATTTTCATGCCATATCAATCACTACTCTTTTTGAAGGTCAAGAGGCCTCTGGGTGACTGCTGACCCAAGGTTTTCTAGTTCTGACTGAATCCAGTCATGAGAAAGTCTTTGACAGCTGCTTTGATATCTGATGCGAGATGATCCAAGCCCATTCTGTTCAGTTTCAGCCTTAGACCTGGACCTGGAATTGGTCACTCATCCCAAAAGCCCTGTCCCCTACCCCAATCCCTTAGTGAGGGTTAAACCTGGAGGTTTCACACTGAGCCATATCCCCAAGCCCTTTTTAAATTTTTTTGTTTTGAGACAAGTCTTAATAAGTCTCTTAAGTTGCTCAGTCTGGGCTGAGTGCCTCAGCCACTCACATTGCTTGGATTATAGATGTGCAACACCACAACTAGCTCCTGATTTGGGGGGGGTATTTCATGATTTATAATCTAGGCACTATGGATGTTCATTACTACAAGTAGGTAATGTCACCTGTACTTTCAAGCTATTTCTCTTTGTACAGAACTAAAGTAATTTAAGAATTAGTAGTAATGCCTATAATTCATATTTATCTCTAGTTTTAACAACTATTAAGTATAGTTCTCTTTTTTTTTTCAACACAAAGAATCTTGATTCCCAAGGATACTGGGATTATAGACTATACTATTACTGTTCATTTGTTTTGACCCATCACATACATAACGTGAAAGTAGCAGAATGCGTGTTTTTACAACTAATGTAATTACTGTAAACAAGATTTTGCATATGCTTCTCTACCATAATTTTTATAATTACAGCTTTATTTTGTCAGCATATTTAACCCACCTTTGACCTTAGTTCTTAAAGTAATTATATATTTATGGTTTATACCTGTTTTTATGTCTGCCCCTCTAGTCATTTTAGTTGCCCAAAGCTTATTTTTTTTGTGGATTTCTCAGGAAAGGCTTATAGAATTGATATTTCCAAAGATCCTGTAAGTTGGTAAATTTGTGCCTCTTTTTCTTAAAAACAGTTTTGCCATAGGCCAGGGATGTAGCTCAGTGGTGCTGTGCCTGCCTGGCAAGCTCAAGGTCCTGAGTTCAATCCCCAGTACTGTAAAACAAAACAAAAAACAATTTTGCTATGGTAGATGTTAAATGGCTTCTTTTGGGGGGGGTACTGGGGATCGAACGCCAGTCCTTGTGCTTGTACAGTAGGTGGCAGAACCACTGAGCTAAATCCCCAGCTCCATTAAATGGCTTTGTAAAAAACATATCTTAGGTCCAGGGATTTAGCTCAGTGGTTCCACTGCCTGCCTTGCAAATGCAAAGACCTGAGTTCAATCCCTGGTACCAAAAAAAAAAAAAAAGGGTATCAAGCATTGTCAAAGTGGTAATCTAATTTTCTTTCATTTTTAAATCCTATGCCTACATAGGATCTAGAGTCTTGGTGTTTTGTCATTCTGGGTTGGTTTTCATAGCTATGTCCTGTTCTGTTTTGAAGTGTAGCTTAAAATATTTTAGGGAAAATTTCTTGCTGAAGTTTTATTTTTATTCTTTTTTTCTTTTCTTTTTTTTGGGGGGGTATTGGCAATTGAACTCACAACCATGAGCTTATAGGGCAGGTACAGTGCCACTGAGCTAAATCCCCCGCCCTTTATTTATTCTTTCTTGGGGGCAGTAATTGGGTTAAACCCATGTTCTTTGCACTGAACTATGTATACAGCCACCGTGCCCCTCCTCCCCAACTTTTGATACAGTCTGGTTAAATTTCCTAGGCTGGCCTCTGGTACTGGGGGGGGGGGGCTCCTGCCTTGGCCTCCTGGGCTGTTGAGATTACAGGTATATACCATTACACCTGGTTCCAAAGTACAACTTCTAATATTTTCCCCCTTCCTATTTATTCCTCAAGAACTCCAGTTGTCTATTATATTGGATATTCTGTCTTTAATATTTTTTATCTTCTTTTTTTTTCTCCTTCTTTTCACTTTCTGGTTTTCCTAAAGCAGCCTGTGTTGTGTTGATATATTCTTGTGTTTCTTCAGTTTTAGTCTTCATTTCTGAAATTATTACTTTTTCATTTCTATTTCCTGAAGTGTCACCCCAGTTTCTGATTTTTTTTTTGTACTTACAATTCATGCTATTTCATGTCGTATCATTTTCTTAGTGTCTTTCAGTGTAATTCTTTTTTTTTTTTTTTTTTTTTTTCCATAGTACTGGTGATGGAACTGAGGAACCACCCATGCTAGGCAAGCCCTCAGTTTGTTTTTTGGTACTGGGAATTGAACTCAGAGCCTCACACTAGCCAGGTAGATGCTGTACCACTGCGATACATTCCCAGCCCTCTCAGTTTGTTCTTATATAGGAACACACAATTTTGAGTTGTACTGAATCTTTTAGGCACGTTTTTGTTTTTCTCCACTTTACAGAAGACATCAGTTCTTCACTCGTTTTTAAAGAAATCACTTTTCTTGACATTTTGGAAGAAGGTATAGTTTGGGAGAGTGTTTTCTAATTTCATAGGGCTCCTGACTCACAATGTTCAAAAATATAGCAGCTTTAAAAGAGGAAATAAATAGAGCAGCTTACTTTATGAATTTCTTGCCCTTGGATATGCCTCTGTTTGTTTGTGTTCTTATTTCATTTTATTCTCAGCATTTTCTTCACCCTGTAGGGTCCTGACCCACAGGCAAGCTCTGGATGATCAGTTGTAAAACACTATGGGCCTTGGGTCATCATACGTCTTTCAGATCTTATAGACCATTCCTTGAGTTTTTTAATTAAACTGCTATTGAATAGGGCAGAGCCCCTTTCTGATGTCTGCTGCCCTGTCAAATTGGCCTGCATTCTTTCTAGTAAATGCTTGTTGGTTTATCTTACTGGAAGCTCTAAAGGGAACCCTGTGCTTTCAGAGGCACACACACAGATCCTTCTGAGGTCTTGTGGCTCTTGGTGGTTGGTCTTCACCTGCTTACATTTTGGAGTTTGTGGAGTTCCTTCTTACCTAGTTTTTTGTTTTGTTCTGTAGCTGTTGTCCACAGAATTTTTTCTTTTATGTGAAAATGAAAAGGTTCAAAGACTGCTGTTGCTGTTGTTGCCATCTTCCAAGTTTTCTTTGTGGGTTTTGGTTTCTCTGGTGTCTCATAATGTTAGACATTTCTCATTCATTTACTGGTCTTTTAAGTTTTCCACCAGGTAGTCAGCTATATAACAACTCAAATATTTTGCTTCATGTCCTTGAGTTGTCTCAGTTTTTCAGCTAGAATGTAAGAGTTAGTATTTCTCCCAGTTACTAACCTTTTCACTTAATTTTTTGAGAATAGAGGCTTTAAATTTTAATGTATAATATTTCAGTATTTTCTTTTATGAGTGGTACTGTTTATGTACTATTTAGGATTTTTTTCATATCCCTAATATAGTGAACATACTTTATCATCTTCTAAAAACTCATTATTTTGCCTTTCAGCTGAAATCAGTGGTTCATCTAAGATTGTTTTTGTGTAAGGCATGAGAAAATTGTTCTTACTCTTGCATACCAAATATAGCTTCCCATTATAGCATCGTCTAGTAAAAACACGCTTTTTCCAGTATTCCATAGTGTCGCTTTTATCATAAATCAGATACATATGAACAAATCAATTTCAGGACTCTGTTCCACTGGTATATATTTTCTGATTTTGCTAATGCAGTTATCTTAATTACTGTAACTATTATAAGACAATATCTGATAGTATAAATGCTCTTTTATTTTTTATTTTTCTTTCTGAAATACTTTGAATTTTCCTATGAGTTCTAAAGTCATCTAGTATACATGCCCTTCTAAAATCTGGTCAGGGCTGTATTAAATCAGTTTAGAGAGAATGGCTCTTTACAAAAGTGAGCTTTCTATCCCATGAATGTGGGATGTTTGTACATTTATTTCATCTTTAATTTCTCTCAGTAATGTTTTGCAATTTTCCTCGTGGAGGTCTTTTACATCTGCTGTTGAGTTTATTCCTTGATATTTAATGGGTTTTGATGCTACTTTAGATAATATCCTTTTTAATGTTGTTTTCTAATTTTTCCTAGTATACTACTCATTTTGCATACTGGCCTTATATACAGAGAACTCAGATAATTCATTCACTTCTGCATCACAGGATCTCTATACAGTTACATGTGCAAATACATACAGTTGTGTCCTGTGGGGACAATTGTGTATAAATGTTCAAGAGCTTTTATTGTTTTATTTTTCACTGGTAATTCACCTTGGATTGACTTTCTTTTGTGCTTTGAGGAATGGACCAACTCCAACCTACTCCCAGATGTTCAGTTGACCTAGCAACATTTAAAGAGACCAGTCTTTCTCCCTGTTAACTGCAGTGGCACCTTTGTCTTGATGCAGGTGACTTAAAATAGGTGGGTATTTTTTCTCAGCCCTTTACTCTGCTTTTTTAAAATCCATCTTTTTAGATCCATAATCTTAGCTTCTTAAATAATGGCACTTTTATTTTCCTTTTCAGTCAGTATTTTATTTCTTTTTGTGGCCTAACCCCACTTGGTGCAACCTCCCGACAGTGTTAAGAAGAAGCTGTGGTAACTCCTCAGCCTCAGAAAGCAAGCTGTTCATTGTTCACTATTGGGCGTTAGGCAAGTACCCTTCTCATAGTAATAACAGGTTTTCATCATGAACATATGCTGAATTTTAATGCTGATATTTTTTCAGTCTACAGAAGTGATTTAGCAGTTTTTTTCTCTTTTATTCCAGGAGTAACCTTGATTTGGTTATGTACAAAATACTAGTCTTTCTTGTGATGTTCTTAATCAGGTTTTAATAGCAAAGTTGTACTGGCCTCAAAATGATTTGGGAAATAATATGTCTTGTATTCTCTGAAAGAATTTTTAATACTAGTTGCACTTTTTTCCTCATTCTTAAGACTTTTTTGGAAATTTTCTGGGCTTTCAGAATTCTTTGTGATAATGTTGTTAAATACTGATCTAATTTTTATATTTGCTAGAGAACTGTTCACATTTTTTGGTATTTTGTTTGGTTTTGTTTTGCTTTTTGAGACAGGGTCTCACTATGTAGTTGAGACTGACCTGGAACTCACTATGTAGCCCAGGCTGGTCTCGAACTCACAGTGATCCTCCTGCCTCAGCCTCCCGAGTGCTGGGATTACAGGCGTGTGCCACCACGCCCGGCCATGGGAACTGTTCACATTTTAAATTTTCTTTTTGCTCAGTTATGGTAAATTGTTCCTCAAGGGTTTATCTCATCCAAAATTTCAAGCTAATTTATACAGTTATTGGTAATACTGTCTTCTTGTAGAATTTGTAGTGATATCTTTCACATTCCTGATAATGTTAGTGTGTGTTCTCTTTTTTTCTGTGATAGAGGTTTATCAGTTTCAGTTTTCTTATAGGCCCAACTTTTTTATTATATTTCCTTACTTGTATGTTATACTCTATTTTGTTGATTTCTGTTCTTGGAATTTTCTTCTTTTTTTTTTTTCCTTAGTATTTTCTGTTTAGTTTTATGGTTTTAACTTAATATACTTTTCTAGCTACTGGAGATAAAATCTTACATTGTTGATATTCAGTCATTTTCTTCCCTCAAGTTGCATTTAGAACTGTAAATTGCCACCTAAGAATTTCTTTAGCCCCATCCCATAAATATTGGTGTATTTCATTTTTAAATTTTTGTCATCTGTCAGTTCATCTTCTCTTGACTTTTTTCCCAGATTACTAGTGCCCCCCCGTCCTGTTTGTAAATTCCAGTGTTGTTGATATTCTCGTTACAATTGTTTGTTCATCTTTTCTTCTGCTCTTTTGGTTTGTAGTCATTTCTCTGTCCTGTCAAGTAATTCCAGTATCTGAGTCACATGTGAGTTGGTTTCTGTTTCTAGTATTTCCCTTTTTATTTTGTTTTTCTTTGTTCTCTAAGGGTCAGTGTGTGTGTGTGTGTGTGTGTGTGTGTGTGTGTGTGTGTGTGTCTTACATGTGTGTGTGTGTCTCATGTTTGTGTGTGTGTCTTACATGTGTGGGGTCGTACATAGCCCTGCAATTTTTTTCTCACTTGATCTTAGACAAAAGGCCAAGAAGTGATGCAATTTTTGTTTGTTTGTTTGTTTGTTTGTTTTGGTCAGACCTCGGGCATCATGGGTAAAAAATTGTAGATGCTTCAAATCTCTACTCCGTTCTTTAACCTCTGCTGCTGGATTATTAAGGAGTTTGGTCCTGCATGTGCACAGTATAGACCCACAAACCAAGGAAGGGAGGTGTCACAGCATGCATTTTTATGAACTCACTTCTATGTGGTCCTCCTTGCTTGTCCCTTAACTCTCAACTACTTTGGCAGCCCCCAGTTCTGACCTTTGACTCTTAAGCCTACTGAAACTGTTGCTTCTGTCCTGACTCCACTTTCTTGCCCATGTATATGATTTGGGAAATGCTTTTTCAGGGAGGGAAAAAAAATCCAAGATGATGTGTCTTGTCCTCCTGTGTTTCTCATTTTTTAAGGATCAGAAACCCTGCCTGCTGGGTTTTCTCCATTGCCTTTAAAGACTTTTTTTATATATTTGGTCTAACATAGTGGTTTTATATGAAAGGGTCAGGTGTTGGTCTAATATAAGTTACTTTGTCATAACCAAAGTCTCTGTGAAATAAGGTTAATAATATTGTCATTTGTGGTGGATTAACTAATGGTAGGTTTGGAATGACCAGCTGAGCTGAATCAGTGTGGTTCTGGGTGTGGAAGACCCACCTGAGGATTGTTGGCAGTGACATAAAAAGAGAACTGGAGGGGAAGATCATGGGCTGTTGATTTTTCTTGGAGAAGCTTGCTGAGGCTGGTTTTCCTGATGCAAACTTGGCTGTTCTCACCAGAGGAGGAGCTTGGGTCCTCTCTGTCATTGGGAATGGCTACTATTCTCATCGGGGGTGCACTGATCTTTGCCTTTAGATTCACTTCCTGGCACCAATATAGATTCATCAGCGTAGTGGCACAAATTCTTCACCCCGCCAGCACCACCACTGGCCTTTGGGCCTTCCCAGTGCAGATCCTCCAGTACTTGCCTAAGACATTGCCTTGGGCTCTGGGCCTTCAGTTGGATTCTTCACGTCTCTAGTGTGTGGACAGACCTCTTGATAGACCTCTTGTACTCTTCTGAATTTAACTTTTTGGGTGAATATTATAAAATAATCCTATAAATTATGTGTCCTTTTTTTATTTTTTATTGAGTTTATTGGTACTTTTTAAGTATACAGTACAGTTATATTCATCATTGGGATCTTGTACCTTTAAAACATGTGAGGTCTTGGTTCTCATTTTTTCCCCATAGCCCTGCCCTCCCTTCATCCCCTCCACCCTCTTCTATTTACAAAGACTTTGTTTCCATTTTTTCCTTCTCTCATATTTTTTATTGTCCCTTATTTCCTTTCCCCTACCTGTCCTGTATTAAATTATTCCCTCGCAGACCCTGACTACAACACCAGTCTCAGGGTTGTTGTGAGAATATGGACAACTTGAAAAGAAAAGAGCTTAGAAGCTTCAGCAATCACCTTTAATAAATTTATTTTATTTTTGTTTATTTTAGTGGTTCTTTGAGACAGGGTCTCACATTGTAGTTCATTTTAGTTTATTTTATTACCTCTGTTCTCTTGAATGAGACCAAAGACTTTATAATTCAGCTATATGGACTATAACTCCCTCAATATGCACACAGCCTTCATAATTGTGCACAAGTTTAGTTTTAAATAATTTTTGTGTTGTAGTCATTGATTCCCTAAAATCAAGGCCCTACTTCATTTTCTGTGCTACAGATTGTTTCTATAATTCCAACTATATTAGACTAGGTAGCATTTAAAATAAAAATTTACTTTTTCATTGTTCTGAAGGTAAAAATCCAAGGAGAAGAAGGTGCCTATGAGGTTGGGTTCTGATGAGCACTGTTTCTGGGTTGCACATAGCTGCCTCCTTGCTGAAGTCCTCACATGGTAGAAAGAAAGCAAATTCTTATGATGTGTCCTCTTCTAAGCCATCATGGGGACCCACCCAATGGCCTCTAAATCTCATTACCTCTCTGAGGCCCCATCTGTAACTACCATCACATTGTGGGGCTAGGACTTCAACAAAGGAATCGGGGAGGGGGACACAATTCAATGTAGACTACCACCCTTCTCTCTTAGTTGACCTTTCTTTTTTTTATTTCATTTTTTTATTCATTAGAATTTTGAAATAATAGCATTGTTTTCCTTTGAAATATATTCCTTTTTTTTTTTCAGCTTTAACTGAGTTTATTGGTACATTTTAGGGATACAGTACAGTTATATTCATTGTTGGGATCTTGTACCTCTACATGACAGGTCTTGGTTCTCATTTTTTCCCCTTGTCCCTGCCCTCCCTTCACCTGCTCCTCCCCTCCCCATCTAAAAACACTTTATTTCCATCTTTTCATTATCTCACATTTTTTTTCTTTGACCTTTCTTTTTAATGACGTGTGTTTTTCAGTGCTGGGGGTAGAAGCAGAAGGAGTGAAAGTTTGCGCCCAGCCTGGGCAATTTAGCAGTCTTTAAAAGGTTATGGCTCCTTGAGGGTCCTAGGTTCAACCCTGTGTAGTAGATCAAGCCTTGTAATAAATAGTGCTCGAAAGACTAAGGCAAGAGGATCATGAGTTTGAGGCCAATCTGGGATACATTGTAAGTTTGAGGCCAGCCTCACTCTGTCTCAAAAAAACAAATAATAATTTCAGCAATCACCTTTTATTTTTATTTATTTTAGTGGTTCTTTGAGACAGGGTCTCACATTGTAGTTCAGACTGGCCTTACATACTACAATAATCCTCTTGCCTCAGCTTCCCAAGTGCTAGGATTATAGGTGTGCAACACTACACCCAGCTTACCTTTCCACCATCCCTTCTATTCTCTTTTTTAAGGGCTGGGGGTTTAGCTCAGTGGTGCCGCCACCTGTCTTGCAAATGCAAGATCCCAAGTTCAATCTCTGGTACCGAAAAAAAAAAAAAAAGAAATAGATATAAATATTCTCTTTCTAAAACCTCCATCAGATTTGTGTTAGAATGCTTCCATCTTCTGTGACTATTTTTTGCCAAGGTCTTCCTATGTTGCTTGGGCTGGTCTTGAACTTCTGGACTCAGTTCTATTGTCTCAACCTACTGATTGCTGGGACTGTAGGCATGCACGTGACTGGGCCTGACTCTTCCATGACTCTTAGTCTCTCAACATTTTTTATTGAAGTGTAGTAACATAGAGTGGGATGAGAAGGTATCAAGGGTACAGTTTGATCCATTTTTTCTAACTTTTGTCCAGTTTGAAAGATGCAAACAGCTGTGTAATGTACAACTTCATCAGGTTGTAGAATATTTTTGATATCCCCAAAAGTTCTCGTTTTCTTCCTGGTCATTCCTCCTTCCTCGGAGTAGTCTTTGATTTCTGTTGATATAAGTTAGATTTTACTCTTCTAGAACTTCATAGAAATGGATTTTCAGACCATGGGGTTATATGCTCAGTATTAGAATGCTTGTCCAGCGTATGCCAAGCTCTGGGTTCAATCCCCAATATTGTGAAGAGAAAGAAGGCAGATGGGAAGGAGGGAGAATGGGAGGAAAGGAAGATGGAAGGAAAGAAATGGAATGCAGGCCCTTTCTCCTCTCCTCTCTTCTCCTCTCCCTTCCCCTCCCCTCCCCTCTCTTCTCCTCTCCTCTCCTCTCACATGGTTTGGGGATCCCATGTATTCTCATATGAATCCATCTCCCAAATACTTCTACCCATTTCTCAGCCTTAACCTAATTTGTGTGTTTCTGTTAATACTACTGGTCTGTGGAGATGTAATGTCTTGGCTTTAGCACCACTATATTTTTTTCTTTAATTCTCCCCTTGTATTATTTAAATTAATAAATGTTCATGTTTTGCCTTGTTTGCTTCAGATATCTTTAAAAGGAAAAGGGAAAAGAAAAAAATATGACAAAATGAAAAAATGGAAATAAAGTGTTTGTAAATGGGGAGGGGAAGAGGGGGTGAAGGGAGGGCACGGACAAGGGGAAAAAATGAGAACTAAGACCTGTCATGTAAAGGTACAAGATCCCAATAATGAATGTAATTGTACTGTATACCTAAAATGCACCAATAAACTCAATAAAAGAAAAAAAATTATAGTTAAAAAAAAAGGAAAAAAAAAGATGTTATATATAATTGAAGTTCAAACCTTAATTCATTTTCAGTTCCCTTTTCCCAGAATAGTCACTGTCCTGAAGTCCGTGGATTTACTCCCAGGCATACTGTATATTTTAATATTTAAATATATTGTATTTTAAACTTGTATATACATTTATGTAACTCTCAACACTTGTTTTTATAGTCACCCATGTTGATACATGTAGATGTAATTTATTTGTGTCACATTCTTGTATGAATTTTATTTATTCCTTTACTGGTTTCCAGTACATCATTTCCATTATGTTTATTGCACTCATTTCTATAGTAAACATCCTTATCACTCTTGCTGTTTGTTTTGCATATTCCCTGGAGAGCATATGAAAGATTCTTAGCTACATACCTGGAAGTGGAAATGCTCAGTCACAAGGAATGCCCTCCAGAATGTCTTTGGTGTGTGTGTGTGTATCGCCTGTTCATTTTCTTGGCACATGTTTTGTATCTGTGTGTGAGTTCTGTATTAGCACTTTGCCTCTTTAATATGTACATTAAAATTTTTATTACCATATGTTTTGAGTTTGTGTTTTCTTAATGTTTTCAGCATAAGCTTGAAATGCTGCTTTGACCAGATAACGTGGAAAGAATTTTAATACTTTGTCACTCTGAATGTTCCTTCTTTTTCAGACCCTTTGAACAGATGGTCACCATGCTGAGATATTAGCCATCACATATGAGTATGCCCACATTTGAAAATGGCAGAGGGAAATAACAATGAAGAGGTGATTCACTTGAACAGTTTTCACTGCCACAGGGGACAAGGTAAGTTGTTTGTCCTCACTTTCTGTCATCCCTTGTTCCTTTTTCATTTACTATTACAGGCAGTATCTTCTTTAAAATGAACCCATTATGCTCTGTTTAGAATTCAGAGACATTGCATTTTTAGACCTGGTATATCAGGCATGAAAGGACTTGTCAGACTAGAATTGTGTCAGATGATGATACCCGCAGCATGAATGAAGTTGAAGAATCACCTTTCACACGTAGATTAGCTAGCTGTAAGATGTGAGTGTACAGGCATTGGGTCTGTAGAGGCAGGGCTACAGAAGAAGGTCAGTTCTGCTTTTGGCAAAATGGCTATGGCACCAAAGCACTCCCAGGCCTGTTGAATGCATAGTAAGGTGCTGCTGAACTTCCTTGCCCTTATACTACATGTATCTTCTTTTTTTTCCCCAAAAAAATTCTGGTTTAGCTTTGTGGAGAATTTTAGGTTATATATGTTTTGTTTGTTGTATGGTATTTAAAATTTTGGCATATTCATTGATTCCTAAAGGGAAAATGCCTTTCTAGAATATTCCTAATTATATATGAAATTTCCTGCCAAGCCCTAATTAAATTTAAAGGAAAAAATTATGCTGATGAATAGGAAAAAAAAATTCTTAATATACTCATTTCTTTATTGTTTGGTTTGGTTTTGGTACCAGGGATCGAACTCCAGTCCTTGCACTTGCGAGGCAGGTGTTGGCATCACTGAGCTAAATCTCCAGCCCAATATATTCATTTCTTACAAGTGCAGATTTTATGAAATAGGCTGAACTGGTCTTATTTTCTTCCATTAATATTTTGTGTTAGTGAAGATGACTTTTTTTCCAGCAGAATGAATTATATTTTAACTTTCAGAACATTTAAAATTATTAAGTAAATTGAAAAAAATAAAAGCATTCAAGCTATACAAGTTATGAGAACAAAAAGAAATACTGATCTTTAGGATTTTTATTAATAGTGTATTCTGACTTGGTAGTGATTGCAGCCATAAATTACTGTGATGTAGAGAGTATTAATCTTAGTTATAACTTAAATATATGATCATTTTAAATTTTCTGTACATGTATATAAAATTAAAGTTATTTTTAAATTGGGCCTTACATGTTTTAAAGAACAACTAATTCTTTTTGGGAAATTACTGATTCTGAAAGTATATTTTCTGTTAGACAAGTGTATATGCTCTGTACCAACCATGTGGATTTTTTTTTTCATGCATGTGGTTTTATTTTTTTATTAGCTGAATTAATTTCAGTATACCAACCTCTATAGTGTTTTTATTTTTTAAGTGTATACTGCAATGAGTTTGGGCAAATGAATTCACCACTTCATTCATGATAATGCCCCAGAGATTCCTTTGTGCCTCTTTGCAGTCACTCCTAACCCCATTTCTCATCTAAGGAAACCACTAATCTGTTCTTTGTCACTATTCAGTTTTATATAAATGGAATTGTTAGCAGGGGTACTGGGGTGCTGTGGCTTCCTCAGGGGTCCCTTTAGACTCTTAGTGTGCTAAACAAAGAATTGGACAGGAAATGAAGTAGCTAAGTTTTACATTTAATAAAGGTAAGAAAAGAAGGAAAAAGTGCTCTAAAAAGAAGCACTGTACAGATTGAGTGCAGGACTAATTAAAGTAGGAAAGAAAATATGCTCTGCATGCCAAGCAAGCCACTGAGAAAGAAAGAAGGCTGCTGTCTTTTATACCCCATTCTACAGCAGATCTAGGCTGTGCTATCAAAAACCTGCTTGATCTTGTGCTGGAAGAATTGAAGATAGCATTCTCTGATTGGTATCAGGCACTGGGCTTGGAAGCCATACTGCGCATTTCCTGAGTCTCCATGAGTGACAGGTCACGCCCACTTGCCCAGCAGCTTTGCCGTTCCCTAATCTGTCTCAAAATCACACAGTACATACTCTTTGTATCAGAATTATTTTGCCAAACATAATTTTTTGAGATTTAACCATGTTGCGAGTATAAGTTTTTAATTTCCTTTTTAGTTGTTCAATAGAATTCTACTTTATCTCACCTAAAATTCTATACTCAGTGAAAATAGACTTAACAATGAAAATAAATGGTTCAGGTATGAAAAAGACACAACATGTAATTACCCCAAAAAAGGAGCTTGTATGTCTGCATAATATCAGATGAAGTAGAAACTCCAGTCAGAAGCATGAAGAAAGAGTTCCTAAAGATCACAACCCTGGGAAGATAAAATTCTAATCCTTGTATACTTAGTAACATATTAAAAGCACACATTGCCGGAACTAAAAGGAGAATTGGACACATCAACAATCATAATGAGAGACTTTAACACATTTCTTGTAATAACTGAGAGAACAAACACTCAGATAACTTGTAAACATAGAAGATTAGAAGAACATGGTCAGTGAATTTGACAAAATAGATGTACAAAATATTGTACCCATTGTATTGGCCATAACTGGAGGCATATAACAAGTTTTAAGTTTCAGGGGACTCACAGAGGCAGAAAGAGCATGAGTTCAAGGCCAGTCCTACTGGTATAGTGAGATCTCTTCTCAAAACAAACAATAAATAACTTTTTAAATTAGGTGATTGATTATGTTCTCTAACCACATAGGAATTAAGCTATAAATCACTTACAGAAATATTATTAGAAAATCCCTATATGTGTGTGGAAAATGGGGGTAGACTGCAGTTGAAATCACAGTGAAAACGAGAAAATATTTTTAGTTGTGTGATAATGAAAATATAATCTATAGAATCTTTCGAGATGTTTATAATATTTATAATACCATGTTTTTAAGAAAAATTATGACCTAAAATGCATGTATTAGATAAGTAAAGCTAGGAATTTATAAGTCAGGGCTCAGCAAACTTTAAAGGGCCAAGCAGTACTAGCGTCGTAGGCCAAATGGTTTCTATCACTTCTATTTAGTGATATGTTTTCTCCACTAAAATTGAATGTGGGTCCAGTGTTGTGGCACACACCTGTAAACCCAGCACTCAGGAGGCTGAGGCAGGAGGATCACCAGGAGTTCAAGGCCGGCCTGAACCACATAGTGAGACACTGTCACAAAATTAAAAGAATTAAAGGGAAGCTTAATGACAGTGACTCATCAGACAGACTCTTGGAGTACCATCTAGGTTACTAACAGATAGGTCATGACAGTCCCAGGAAAGGAAAGAACACAGAGCAGCAAAAAGTATTTGAGGAAGTAGTGGCTGAAAATTTCCTAAAATTGATGGAGAATGTTAATTTACACATTCAAGAAACTAAATAGACTTCCATAAAGGATAAATACAAAGATGCCAAGTGTGACGGAACACACTTTTGATTCCAACACTCAGGAGATTGAGGCAGAAGGAGCTCTGATTTCCAAGCCAGGGAGGACTCAGTGAGTTCAAGGCTAGCATGAACTACACAGTGGGGACCCTATCTCAAATTCCAAAAACAAAACAGACAAAACAAAAAACTACTCCTAGACTGGTCTTGACCATTTGCCTCCTGGAGGGCCATGACTTACCGATTGTATGGATAGAAGTCTGGAAACAACTTTGTCTACAAAAAGACCAAAGACTTCAAATCCCTCTCACTTTTTCCTTTAGCAGTATCCTGACTTCTGAGCATTTCTCAGGTTTTGGAGTGTGTTGGCTGCCTCTGTGCAGGCTTTGAGTTTGCATCTTCTCCACTTGGTTAAATCACTTGCCTGTAATTTTGCTATTTTCCAGAATTTTTTTGTTGAAGTCCTTTACCTAGTGTAATCTCCTTTCCTCTTCTTTTTTGAACTTAAGGGTAAGTTCTTTTACTGTCATTTTAGTGGGGTTTCAGGAGGTGGTAGTAATTAAGCACATGGGTTCATTTTGCCAGGGTTTAACTGGGAATTCTTTCCTGTGTGCCTACCAGGCTCTCAGTTCACTTAGTTACTGTGAAAGATAACCGTGGCTTTGTGGAAAGACCATTGAACTTGAAGTTAGGTAATGGTGTGTCAGGCACTGTAATAAGCAAATATTTTGTGTGACTTTTCTCAACTGATCCTCAACTGATCCTTACTTGAAATAGGCACCATTGTTCACCTTTTTTAATGTTGAGCAAATGGATACTTAAAGCAGACGGGTAACACCAAGAGTCAGTGTGTGGTGGAGGTAAAATTAAAACATAAGCAGTCTGCCTGAGATCCTCTAGACGCCCATTTTAAACTGTTTTCTCTGCTACCACTGCAGCCTTCTTAACGGAACAAAATGAGATCATTGATTTTTTTTAATTGATTTTCAAATTGTAGAGCACCAAAAAATATATGAGATGTTAAACTTAAGAAAAATACCAAAATTAAAAAAAAAATACCACAAGCTTTGGTAAAGGACTTGGCAAAATTACAATAATGGTACTTCTCTCTTTTCTTGCTGCTGCTGCTGCTGCTGCTACACTTCCTTTTTTTCTGCACTCTCAATACATTTTCTCTTCATTGCCTGTTTTAACCTTTAACATTCCTGTGGAACCAGACACACACACACACACACACACACACACACACACACACACAAACTGCAAGTGTTTAAAATCTATCTTCAAACAGATAGTAGAACCCTAAAACAATTATCACATGTAGATTGCTACTTTATCTATAGTTCTATTTTAAATAAAACTAGGAAAAAAGCTGTTTTCTATCATACATACTCAATGGGTGCTTGACTAAAACATGAAATATGTCTCCTTAAATGAGCCTTAAAGTTTATGTGTCAGTAGCAAGTGGAATTTTTACTATTTTGGGGTAATGATTTTCTCCAACCTATCAGTTTAAATAAAATACTATTTTATTCCTAAAAGGAATAGAAATGGTTGGGAGGCCATAATTTGATTTTAAAGAAATTGACAATAAAGATTTTTATCAGTGGATTATTCCAACTTTGTAGTTTTTTTTATTTATTTTTGTTTTCTGTGATAGGGTCTCAATATGTAGTTCAGACTGGCCTTGAAGTCACTATGCAGCCCAGGTTGGCCTCAAACTGCCTTAGCCTTACTGGTTCTAGGATTACAGGTGTGCACCACCATGCCCAGCTTCCAATTTATTATTTTTTGTGTGTGGTACCAGATATTGAAATCAGGACTTTGCCCTTGTAAGGCAAGAGGTGGAACCACTGAGCTAAATCCCTGGCCCCAACCTGTTATTTAAAAGAATTGATAATCCTGAGCATAAGTGTCAGATTTCCTCTAGCAAGTCCCCAAATACACTTTTGGCAAACAGCATGGTATCTGAGTAATCCCAGCACCTCAAGAGACAGGAGGATGGTGAGTTTGAGGCCAGTCAAGGCAACATATGAAAGCCTGTCTCAAGAAAGTAAAAAGTCAGCATGGAAACATGATTCACTTGTGGTTTGCTTTGAGAAGGTAAGTTAGCAGGCAGGCCTAGTAGCCATGAACTTGGCTTTGACTTAATCCTCTGTAGGCTTAAAGTACAATGAAAGGAATGGCTGTGATTGTTCTGGCCTCTGGTAACAGTGTTCTATGTCTTCCCATAGATTGGATCAGTCTCAGAGATGGGCCCATCACCATATCTGACTCCTCTGATGAGGAAGGGATTCCAATGCTGGTCACCCCAGCTCCTGAGCAGCATGAAGAGGACCTGGATGATGACATCATCCTGACTGAAGTGAGTTTTCTTAAAACTACTGTGATATGGGGCATTATTGCAAGTTAGTGAGCTGATTCTTCAGCTACTCTCAGGGCCTCATAGAACAACTGACTCACCTCCCTGCACCTTTCTCCAACTCTGAGAACCTTTTCCACTCTGCCTCTTGCCCCCTCAGCTTTGGAAGCTATATGTTTTGCCTCTCTCTGAACTTGTTTACCATTGCTCCATCCCACAATATGTGCACTAGCCCATGCTGTTTAAGAAAAGCTTTGACACATTGTTATGTGTCTTACCATCCAGTAGAACATACCAACCTGTAATTTCAGAATCATCCTAGGTATTCTTAAACTTTATTTTTATATGAATTTTACAATCAGCTTTTCTAGTTCCAAAAGATAAATCAATAAAACATCCTCTTGGGCCGGGGATTTTTAGCTCAGTGGTTCCACCGCCTGCCTCTCAAGCACAAGGACCTGAGTTCAATCCCTGGTACAAATAAATAAATAAATATTTTTTTAAAAAAAACAGATCTTCGTGCTATATTTATAGAACAATGTATGTAATACTGACTCTTTCTAAACAGAAACATGTTTATAGTAAGATTTGTCTTTCCATGTAGTTTAACCACCTTTTATGTGCTTCAGCCAGAGCATTTTGAATTTTTTCTTAATACAGATCTCAAAACATTCTTTGTTTATTCTTCGTTATTTTCTTTTCTGTTACTTTTGTGAATGGCATCTTTATTTCCATTGTACCTTTTAACTTTTATTAAAAGTTTAAATTGTTCCTTTTACATTAATTTTGCAGTTAACTTTTATTATGTATAGTTATTTTTCATTTGACTCATTTCTTGAGAATTTGCATCTCTGTAATCTCTCTGCAATTAATGATACTTAGTTTCTAGTTTTTATACTTTTTATTTTCTAATTGTGATAACTTCCTCAAAAATTTTCATAGTGGTGATAACTACTGATGTAAATGGAAATACTTTTAATATATCTTCATTAAGTTTGATAGTGCCTTTGGCTTAAGGTGTTATTTTTGGGTCAGGGATTTAGCTCAGTGGTTCCGCCACCTACCTTGTAAGCACAAGGTCCTAAGTTCGATCCCTGGTACCAAAAAAAAAAAGTTGTTACTTTTTGTAGTTCTTTCTTTGGGGTGGGTACTGGGGAGCAAACTCAGCACCTTGTATTTGTGAGACAGGTATGGCACCACTGAACTAAATTCTTGGCCCAAGAGGCTATATTTTTTTTTTTACATTATATTAAGGAAAAAGCCATCTACTTGTACTATATTTCAAGTTTTTCTTATGAATGGATGTGAAATTCTGTCAAATTGAATTTAAGAGTCTGTGGAAATTGTCGTATGATTTTGCTTTGATTTGTTAATGTGGCGGATTATTCTGTCTCTGGAAAGAGCCACTGGGTCAGGATATTGTAATGTGATGGTAATGTCCTAATGGGTTCCACTTGCTAATGTTTTATTTAGGCTTTTTCTCTATAGACCTCATCAGTGAGACTGGCCCATAGGTTAGTGAGAAACTGTGTTCTCTTTGAAAACTTTTTTATAAACACAATCCTGACTTCATGAAGAGTTTGTAATTTCCTTTATTTGTGTTTTAAATATATTGAATAAAATTAAACAAAGTCCCTGTTCTTTCTACTTAATCGGTAGTTCCTCCACTGTCCTTTTCTATTTTGCCTATTTCTACCCTTTTTTTCTTGATTTGATCAAATAACTGTTAGCCTCTCTTCCCTTGGTTTTCTTCCTCCTCTGCCAAAGAGACAGCTCTGAGATTTACTTGATAGTGTTGTCATCTATTTTCTCATTCATTCATTTCTGCTTTTGTCTTTAGTAATTTTTCTTCTGCTTTAGCATACTTAACATGTTTCTTTGGGGTTTATTTTATGGACCTTTTGCTAACTTCTTGAGTTAATTATTTGTTCATTCTTTTACATTTTTCTGGTTACTTATTGCCATGTAACAAATCACCTCAAAACTTAATGGCTTAAGTCAGCTGCAATGCTTATGTTCTCTATCTTGGTGGGTGGGAACTTGAGAAAGGCTTATCTGGAGACTTTGCCTGCGAACTCATGTTGACTGTTGTCAGGTGGTGCTGGAATTTAAATGGAGGACTTGGGACAGCCAGGCACTGGGAGGGTATCACTCTCTTTAGGGTATCCCATGTGATCTCTCTTTTTAAAACAACTTTATTCAGATACAGCTCACATACCAGACAAGTTATCTGCTTAAATTGGAGTTAGTGTATGTTTATTCACAGGGTTGTATACTTATCACCATGATCATTTTAAAAACATTCACATCACCCTAAAAAGATATTCTGTACCTATTAGCTGTAACTGACTATTTTCCTCAACCTCTGCCCCTGACTCCTCATCCTATACAATCACTAATTTACTTTTTTTTTTTTGGTACTGGGGATCAAACTTGGGACCTTGTACTTGCAAAGCAGGTGGTGGAACCCACTGGGCTACATCCCCAGCCTAATTTACTTTTTGTTTTTGCATATTTGCCTGTCACGTAAATTTCATATAAATGGAATCGTGCCATACCTAGTCTTCTGTGACTGAATTCAGTGTATCAGTACTTAGCTCCTTTTTCAGGTGCAGCTTTATTGAGACACAGTTTATATACCATACATTTCATCTATTTGGAGCACACAGTTCGGTGGCTTTTAGTAAGTTGACACCATTTTTCATCCATTGCCACCATCAATTTTAGAATATTTTCATCACCCCATGAAGAAATTGGGCACCCATAAACTATCACCTTCCAATATCGATCCCACCCTGTCCTCAGCAATTATTTATCTATCTTCTGTCTGTACTTATTACCTAATCTAGACATTTTATATAAAGAGAAGCATGCATTATGCAGTCCTTTCAAGACATTTCTTTCACTTAGCAAGTTTTCAGGGTTCGGCTATGATATAGCATGAATCTATTTTTTTCCTTTTTATTGCTGAATAATATTGCATTGTGTAACTGTATTTTGTTTATTCATTCTTCAGGTAGTAATTTGAGTTGCTATTATGTTTTGGCTGTTATGAATAATGAATACATTGACATACAAGTTTGTGTGTTGACATATATTTTTGTTTCTATTGTATAGGTACTGAGGTGGAATTGGTGGGTCTTGTGACTTCTCTTTGTTTAGCTCTACCTGACTGACTTTCCATAGCAGCTGTACAGTTTTATGTTACTGCTAGCAGTGTTTGAAGCTTCCCGTTTCTCCATGTTCTTACCAGCACCTGTTACTATCTGTCCTTTTTATTGTAGTTAGGTGATACGAAATCCTATGTCACCACAGTTTTAAGTTACATTTCCCAATGGGCAGTGATGTTGAGCATCACTTTTATATTGTACTTCTATATTGGCCATGTTTATATCTTCTTTTGGAGAAACGTCTGTGCAGGTTTTTGCCCATTTTTAAATGGGATATTCATCTCTCTTTTTTTTTTTTTTTTTTTTTTTTTGGTACTGGGGATCAAACTCTGGTCCTTGTGTTTGCGAGGCTGGTGGCAGAACCACTGAGCTAAATCCCCAGCCCGAATATTCATCTCTTTATATTGAATTTTTACATATTCTAGGTGCTGTGCTTTCATAAGATAATCCGATTTGTAAATATTTTTTTCTCAGCCTGGCATGGTGGTGCATGCCTGTAATCTTAGCACTGAGGCGACTGAGAAAGGAGAATCACCTGAGTTCGAGACCAGCCTGGGCTACATAGTGAGTTCAAAGCCAGCCTGTACTGCATAGCGAGACCCTGTCTTAAAAAAATTTTTTTTTCTCATTCTGTAGTTTGGCTTTTGACTTTCTTCATGGTATCCTTTGAAACACAAAAGCTTTTAAATTTAATGAAATCCAGTTTATTTTTCCTTGTATTAGTTATCATTTTTGATACATGTCCAACACATATGACTATTTTAAGGTCTGATTGAAGCTTCCTCATATCATAGAAGTGTCAGGACTATTATAAATTAGCAGTTTAAACTCTTTTTGAGTAATGTAAAAACCTTAAAACACTAACTCTATTCCCCTCCAAAACTTTTATTACATAGTTTAATTTTTTAAATCCATAGTATGGATTTTCATCTTACACAGTTAATATTCATTGCCTTATCCTTTTTGTTGCTTTTCATCCCTTTATCTCTGACTTAAAACTGCCTAAAAAATCACCTGTAGGATTTCCTTTATGCAGACTTTGCTGGTATTTTCATAAAGTATAAAATTCTATATGCCCCGCCCTTTTTTTGCTGCTTTTAAGAGATTTTCTTTGTTTTCTACAGTCGTACTTATGCCCTACCTAGGTTTCTATAGTTGGGGGGTTACAGATTTATTCTGCTTAGATCTTCAAAACTGGAATCAAATCCACTATCTGTCCCTTCTTAAATATTCACACTTTGTCTTCAAATATTGCTTTTTCATCCTTCTCTTCTCAGACTCCAGTTACATACTTGTGAAGATCTTTTCATGCTTGCTTCAGCAGCACATATACTAAAATTGAAACGATACAGAGAAGATTAGCATGGCCCCTGCACAAGGATGACACGCAAATTCATGAAGCACTCCATAATTTTTAGATAATGTGAAACAGGAAGCAAAGGTCTAAAGGGGCAATGGAAGTGTGAGGAGCAGGGGAAAGGAAAAAGTGGAAACAGGTCTTTGTAAATTGGGAAAAGTGGAAGGGTTAAAGGGAGGGCAGGAGAATAGGGAAAAAAATAAGAACCAAGATATATCATGTAAAGGTACAAATTCTCAATGATGAATGTCATCATACTGTATACCTAAAATGTACCAATAAATTTAATGGGAAAAAAGATCTTTTTGTTGTATTTTTATGTTTTATTCTTTTATCTAATATTCAGTTTTATCTCTATGGTTTATTCTGGTTATTTGCTTCTGGCCTGTTTTTCAATTAATTAATTTCTTTCTTCAGCTATATTTATTTAAAATGCTCTATGTGCACCTATTGATTCTATGTCTTAGTTGCTATATTGTTCCATTCTGGAATTTGCTTTTTTTTGAGACAGTGTCTCACTGTGTAGTTCAGACTGACCTGGAACTCACTATGTAGCCCAGGCTGGTCTCAAACTCACAGTGGTCCTCCTGCCTTGGCCTCCTGAGTGCTGGGATTACAGGCGTGCGCCACCACGCCCGGCTGGAATATGCATTTGATTTTTATGTTTCTCTGCTGAAATTCCCAGTCTAGTCTGTTACTTCCTTACATATGCTAAACATTGTTTAGAGTCCAGGTCTGGTAATTCTGCTGTGTGAAGTCTCATTAGATTTGTTTCTGTCATCTGTTCCTTGGTTTGGTTTTGAGTGGTCACATTAAGTTATGTGCCTAGTTATTTTTTATTGATTATAAGTCATGCAATCTGGAAAAGCTGAGATCTTAGATGATGTTATCTTTCTGCACAGAGAACCTACACTTAGTTTAAGGATAAGGAAGTCACAGTAGGGAGCTGGGATTCAGTTCCTGGGATGGCAAGCATGCTTCCCATTCACCCTGCAGTGACATCACCCTTCAAGAACTTGCCACGTGTCTTGAGATTTATCAGGACCTTGCCCTTTTGCTGAGTTCTGAATTCCATTTTTTGTGTCCTTAGCTCCTCAATAAGAATATCAGAAGTCTTGTCTGCTGATCATTCAGTCAGTCAGGTCTGGAGTTGACAGATGCATATTTTGGGAACAAGAGCCCCTGTCAAGCCCATTTTGCTAGATTTCCCCTTCTGGATCTTGCCAGCCTTCAAGCAGATGTTTTTGTCTTGCTTTGTTGTATTCTACTATTCTTACTAGAGTTTCTTTATTTTCTGTAGAGGTGTTGTGTGAGTAATACATCTGCCATTGTTGGACTCAGAAGCCCCCTCTTCACTGGGGTGCAGCTCAGTGATAGAGCACTTGCCTAACATAGAATGCTAAGGCCTAGGTGCCACCTCAGCACCAGGGGAAAAGACTTGTGTGTGCAGTGCATGTGTGTGTGTGTGTGTCTGTGCACATGTGTGCACGCACTTGCATGCATAGTACTGGGGTTTGAACCCAGGGACTCGCACATGCTATGCAAATGCTGTACCACTGAACTGCATCGCCACCCCTTCTCATTTTATTTTTTGACATAGGTTGTTAAATTGCCCAGGCTGGCCTCAGATTTGCAGTCCTCCTGCCTCAGACTTCAGAGTGACTGGGATTACGATGTGCACCATCATGCTTGTCTACCTCTTAAGTCATTACTTGTACTTTCTAAGTCACTGTTCTCAATACCTCTTACCGCTCTTTCTTTTCTTTACTTTTAATTAGTGCTAGAATTAAACTCAGTACTTTCCCACTGAGCTACATCCCCAGCCTTTTTTTATTTTGAGATGGGGTCTTGCTAAGTTGCCTAGGCTGTGCTCCAAATTGTGATCTCCTGCCTCAGCCTCCCAGAAGTGTCTAACCTCAGAACCCCTCTGCTGCCTGATGGATAGAGGTTTTGGTAGCCCCAACGCCCATTCCCACTGTTGCAAAAGAGAGATTGTTGGTTTTCCCCCAGCATACCAAGCTTTGCCTACAGTCCCTAGCTCATAGCATTTTTGGGCTTCTCAACTTAGACATTATGTGATTTGGAATGACATATGTCCACTGAGTCATGAAAGATTTTCAGTTTTGTGGCTCATTGTGTCCTTTATTTTGTCAGAAAAGAGTTAGAGACATCTTTATTTCATTGTCTTAAAATTAGATGTCTATTTCAGTTTTCCTTTTATTTACATGATTACTTTCAATGTAGAAATTTAAACAATGCTGGTAAAAGTTCAAGTTCCTATTCACCAGCCCCTTCTCAAGGAATATCCCAAAACTTATCAGTCTAGACTGAATCCTTCGAGATTTTTTTCTCTTATAGGGCAAGAGTACACTTCTAGAAATGATTTTTTGTATCTTTTTTATTTTTAATAAATAATCATTCTATATATGAATGATTTTGCAACTTGATTTTCTTCACTTAGTGACATTTCTGGATGATAATTCTGTTTTAGTATATACTGAGCCACCTCTTTTTAGGGGCAGTGATGGTGAGGGTGATTGTAGAGTATTTTTTTGACAAATAAGTAATGGTTTACTTAAAGCTTCTTAGGAAGAACCTTTAGAATGTCTGCTATTTTTTCTTTTTATGCTACAAGCAGTGTAGCTGTGAATGTCCTTGTATATGACCTTCTCAGATATATGTATTTTGTAAAATAGTTATGAAAAAGTGATATTGACTAATCATAAGCATTTTTTTTTTACTTTAGTAAATGGTGCCAAATTGTTCTTCTAAATTCTAGCAGTGAATGATAGTATATGAGTTTTCACAAACATCTTTACCAGTGCTTTATATTGTTTAACTTGAAAGTTTACCAGTCTTATGGGGAGTAAAGTTGTCTAAATTTTCATTTTGTTGATGGCTAATGAGATTTTGGTCCTTTTCATACGTTTATTTAGCTTTTTTTTTTATTCCTCTGCTGTGTTAGCATTCTTTATTCCTTTTACCATACAATTAATTTTGTTTTAGTAGTCTCAGAAATTAAGATATAATTCAAATTGTAATTCAAACTTCAGTCTTTGGTTACTCTGATTCTTACAGATACTATAGTATTTCAGTGTTAAGTTAAATGTAAAGAGTAGGTTTTGTTAAGCAGCAGAAGGATGTTTTTGTGTGTTTCCTGTTCTATCTCAGAAGTTCAGTATAAGCTCATAGAGGCATAGATGTAGGGAAAAAAATTGAAGTATTAAAATTTCATTTTTTCTTAGACAAATAGACCTCAGACTTCACGACCCAATCTCATCAAACCAGCTGCCCACTGGCAAGATCTGAAAAGATTGGGAGAAGAAAGGCCTAAAAAGTCTAGAGCAGCATTTGAATCAGATCAGAGCAGCTATTTTTCAGTGTGTAACAACCCATTGTTTGATTCTGGGGCACAGGATGATTCTGAGGAAGACTACGGTGAATTTCTGAATCTTGGGCCTCCTGGCGTCTCTGAATTCACTGAGCCAAGAAGTCAAGCAGAAGCAGAATCCGAACCTGGACCCAATCATAACCAAGCCGTAAATGATATTGTCAATCCCAGATTGGAGCAGAAGATCATTATCTTTAGAGAAAGTGGCCTCCTCTTCCCAGAAAGTGATCCTTTGGATACTCAGAACCAGTCATCTGAAGACTCGGAGCCAGAGCTATTTTCACATCTGGGAGAATCGACTACTTTGGGAGATGATCCAGACATCGAAGAAGACTACTGGCTCAACCATCCGTACTTACAGTCTCTAAAACAACAGCCCCGTGAGGTAACAAACCAGGTTGTTCCCCAGGAGCGGCATTCTAAAGGAGAACTTCGCTCCTTTGTATTTCGGCACGAACTCCCAGTTCCTGCTTTTCCAAGGCCAGCTTTTCCAAAACCAGAACCCCAGCAAGATGGGGTTTCAGGCCCTGCTTCTCCTCAGCCCATACACCCGCTAGGAGAGCTTGAAGACCAACAGTTAGCAATTGATGATGAAGAGCCAGGGCCAGCCTTTCCCCTGAGAGGATCTAAGGAGGCCAATTTGGAAAACCTTTGGGGACAAGAACCTCCTGAGGTAGATCAAGAATTCATTGCACTATTAGTGAAAGAAACAGTAAGTGTTGCTTACTTTTATTACTGTTTAATTTTAGACATCATACTGAATTTTCTTGCAGAAACCAAAAAATGCACGTGTAGACTTCATTTTCCTAAGAAGCATTTATCTAGATGTAGGTAGGGAATAAATGAAAACAAACTCTGAAGACAGAAAGATGGAATCAGGATTCCTTAGTCTGTGCATAACTTCTAGGAAGCTCTCTAGGATGCTAATGACAATAGCATTGTGCTGTCTTAGCAGTTTTTTCAGAGGCCTTAAACTTACTCCAAATTCAAACCCTTGAAGAAGTTACTGAATTGCCTAGACCTGTGCTGTCCAACATGGCAGCCATTAGCCTGTGTGACTATTTACATTTAAGTGTCTTACAATTAAAGTTATAAATTAAGTTTCCAGGAGCATCAGTAACATTTTAGTCTCAACAGCAATAACATTTTAGTCTCAGAGCTGTCAGAAAGCACAGAATAGAAAGTTTCCATCATTATACACAGTTCTGTTAGATTCTGGCCATCAGGGTAACTTGGGCCTTTATGTCCACAGTTATCTGTGGTTTGCCTTTCAGTGAGTCTCCTTACCCTGCTTTACCCGTGTTTTCATCTGACCCCCTCAGTTGTGAAACTTCTAGAGGGCAGGCGTGGGATTATACTTTCTCTTTGGATTCCCTTGCCTGCAGAGATGCTCAATATTTGTTGAAAAAGAAAATGGATATGCAGAGTGGTGCAGAGGACCAGATGACCTCTAAGATCTTTCTAGACTGTCTTTTGTCTTGGTGTTGAATCTGAGAACAAGTATTGAATTATAAGCCATATAGAGCTGTTTTTTAGCCCTCTTTTCTTAGTCATTAGTCATTTTCTTTCTTTTTTTTGTCACACAGTTTTTAGTGCCTTCAAACTATGCTAGTGAATAAAATGTTTTTATTCCTTTACAGGAAGCAAGATTTCCAGATGTAGCAAATGGGTATATTGAAGAAATAATTCATTTGAAGAATTATTATGATTTGAATGTGTAAGTAATCCACCATCCCTTTTTTCTTTCCTTTTCTTTCTTGAGGTAAAATAAATAAACATTAAATTTATCATTTTAACCTTTTATGCGTATCATATGTGTGTAGACTGGGAATTGAACCAGAGCCTTTGCACTAAGCTATATCCCTAGCCTTTTTTAAAATTTTGAGACAGAATCTTGCTATGTTGCACAGGCTGAGTTCGAACTTGTAATCCTCCTGTTTTGGCCTCCCAGAGTATTGGGATTTACAGGTGTGCATCACCATGCCCAGAATATTTTAAACATTTTTAAGTGTAAAGTTTAGTGGTATTAAGTACATTCACATTATTGTGCATCCATTACCATATCCTCCTCCAGAACTCTTCTTATCTTCCCAAAATGAAACTGCACCTATTAAATACTAACATCCCTTCCTCTCTCAACCCCTACTTCCACCATTCTAATTCCACCTCTGTGAATTTGACTCGTCGAGGTATCTCATGTAAGTGGAAGTGTACAGTAGTTGTTGGCTCTTTTTGACTGGCTTATTGCACTTGGCATAGTGTCTTTTGAATGATTTTGTTACTTCCAACATTAGTCATGAACAGATTGTTCTGGGTCTTACAGAATTCTGCCAGGTCATGAAATTATGATGCCTGGTTGTTTCTGAGCATTAATATTACCTGTGTTTTGGTCAAGATGATAAAAGACTGTTTTTCCCAACAATTTTAACAGAAAGTGTCCTGTAAGCATTTTACCTGTTTGCAGAAATATGTAGAAGCATTTCTTCAATTTTTAGTATAAAAGTGATACTTTAAAAAAATTAGTGCACTGAAAAATACAAAATGAAAAGTTAGTCTCTTTCCTCTTATTCTCTCTCCTTATTCTAGTCCACAGAGGAGAAATAATTGTATATTTGTAAAGAATAATGTTGAAATTACTTAATCATAATTTTCAGAAGTTAATACAGATATTTTTAATTAAACAAAAGAGATAGTGTAATGCCAGATGTTTTGGCACATGCCTATAATCCTAGCACTTTAGGAGGCTGAGTCAGCAGGATCACATGTTCAAGCCCCACCTGGGCAGTTTAGTGACTTAGCAAGGCCCTGTCTTAAAATACAAAATAAAAAAGAGCTTGGAGATGTACTCAGTGCAAAAGTTCTAGATTCAGTCTTAGTACATACCTGGAAAAAACAAAGAGGTAGTATTCTACACCCTTGTCTTCAGAAGTGTCGTATCTTATTCTGCAGTTCTCAGTCAGGGTACAAGTAAGTCTGTCCCCTGCCAAGAGTTGAGAGGAGAGGCCCCCCTTTTCCAGGTTCTCAGCCCAGCAGAAGTCCTTTTTTCTAATTTGTACAAAAATACATTGGTGCCACCACTGTCCAGAAGCAGCCAGTTACCAGGTTTTCAACCAGGATTGGATCAAGGTTTCTTAACTGCTGATGAGCAGGGACCCTGATGACCCTGCAGGCTGCTGAATGCCAGGCTGTCTTGGTCATTGTGTGGTCATCCCCAGTTACAGTATTTATCGCTTTCGCTTCTTTCTTAATCTATAGTGGTTCCCTGCTCTCTTTTTTAAAATATCATTAATTTTTCTTAGCAATGTTTTTACCATGAAAAGTTGAAAGAATGTCAGGTTTGGTGGTACATTCCTATAATTCCAGTTACTCAGGAGGCTGATGCAGGAGAAGCACAAATTCAAAGCCAGAGTGGGCAACTTAAGGAAACCCTGTTTCAAATAAAATATAAAGGGCTGAGGATGTAGCTCAGTGATACAGAGCTCACTTAGCTTGTTGTGAGGCCCTGTGTTCAATCCCTAGCACTGTAAAAAAAAAAAAAGTTGAAAGACATTATGATGAACACCTATATACTGATCACCTAGATTGTCTGTCTTTCTTCTGAAAGGAGTATTTCCCTTTTACTTCCTACTCTTTAAAAAAAAAATTGTAATTTTATATGCACACACAAAATTTAAAGGCTTTCAAGTAGTATTTTAAAAATTAGTTACAGGGCTAGAGATTTAGCTCAGTAGCTCTGCTGCCTGCGTTACAAGTGCAAGGTCCCGGGTTTGATCCCCAGTACCAAAAAATTTTTTAAAAAATCAATGCAGAGGGGCCGGGGATTTAGCTCAGCGGTTCGGTGGCCTGCCTTGCAAGCGCAAGGACCCGAGTTCAATCCCCGGTACCAAAAAAACAAAAAATCAATACAGAGCTTGGTGTGGTGCTGCATACTTGTAGTCCCAGCATTCAGGAGGCTAAGGTAAAATGATCTTGCAGAGTTCAGGCCAGCTTGAGGCCTAGTCTCAAAAAACAAACCAAAAAATCATTTACAATCATTTGCTTTTTTTGGTACTGAAATCGTCCCAGTTTTGACTTCTGGGAGCCTTTAAGATGCACCTGTCTTTTTTGTGTGACCCCATTAATCTTTGAGGTTTGCCTTGGACTTCCTCAGACCTGGAATCTGTTACTCTGAAAAGCCCAGAAGTTTGGCTCATTCTTTCCTTTTTTTTTTTTTTTTTTTTTAAGTCAGGGTCTTACTGTATTACCAAGGCTGAGCTTGAGTTCCCAGTGTCAAGCACCCTTTCCACCTTAGCCCCCCAAGTGCTAGTGCTGCCGGAGTGTGCCCCTGTGTTTGGCTTAAGCCCAGAGTTCTTAGAAGGAGAAGTGTCTTAGTGCTTGATATTTTCACCATTAGTACCAGCAAGTCACCCTTGTAGGTCCTTTCACTGGCATCTGGGTGAGAAAAGAAAAAGAGCTGAAGAACCACACTTTTTCTCTTTTCACTCCCTGGCAGACCTCTGTTACTTATTACATCCCCCACTACTGACATTGGACAAAAATAGGGAGAAGAGAGTTGAGCACTAATTAGAAATAGACACATATTGTGAGTGGGGTCATCCTACATATCTGCAGGAGCAAGGGAAGAATGCTGATGAGCAGGAACCCCAATGATACTGCAGGCTGCTGAACGTCAGGCTATCATGGCCATTCTGCATGTCATCCCCAGCGCAGTTGTCTGATTTGGTTCTGTTGCCAGGTGAAGAGCTTGGAGAGTGAATGTCATTAAGTCTGGGTGATGTTGCCTCAAAGTGTATTAGTTTGCTCTATATCGCTTACCCTCAGAGTAGTTCAGTAATGTGTAACGGAGACAAGACTGGTGGGTTTGTAAAAGAAAAGAATCTGCTGGTAAGAGAACATGGCCTGTTCATCAGTGTTGCATTTGGTTAAATAAAGTGAGCATGACTCAGATGGCTCACAGAAGTTTATATTCCCACAGGGTATAAGATATAGTAATTAGCAGAAGGTATTTTATATTTCATTTATTTACTAAATCTTACCAAAGTTTTTACATTTAATTGTGAATATGTATCACTTCCTACTTGTTATTCATAGCTTTCTTGATGGAGAATAGCTACTTTTTCCTGTGTCATTAGGAACTTTATTTTTGCATATGAATCAGTGGACAGTTATGGATGGGACTTGGAAGCAATATGAAAGTAATGTCATGTGTTGTTGCAGACTTTGTAATTTTCTTCTGGAAAATCCAGATTATCCAAAGAGAGAAGACAGGATCATTATCAATCCCAGCAGCAGCCTTCTCGCCAGCCAGGACGATACAAAGGCAAGTGTCCTGTGTACATTTTGCTATCTTGGCTAGAACTGCTCTACCTTTTCTGTCATCTCTATGCTTTGTTGGGACACATTTTTAAAAGGCCAGCAGGAAAAATAGGATTTTAGAATGCACTTCAGTGGGACCTCCCACCTTATTCCACTGTGAGTTATATATTTAACTCCTCTTTTGTTGATACCCTTATCTTCCCTTTTCCACAAAAAATTAAGCACATCTTCCATATCTTTAGTCCTACAAAGCAAATTCCCAAAGTGAAATAGGAATTGCCAGGATTCTTTGTAGTGTTTTAGTAGTTTTTAACATTATTTTGCATTAATCCTATCCACCCACCGCCAATATTACTAAAAAGTTCATGTTTTATACTCTGTCAGCTTTATTGTACCTCTCTCCTCTGTCCATCAGCACATCTTATTTTATTTCAGTACACTGCTTTTCAAAGTAAGTTACCAAAACATTAGTACTGCGTGCTTCTATGTAAATACTTCAGTGTGCAGATTACCAAGAGCTTAATATCTGTTGACAATATTTTCTGTTGTAAGATTTGTGTACCACGCATAGACCTGTTTAACCAAATCTTATATGAAGACGTAGACTGATCTTTAAAACTTGCAGTCATTGTCTTTATTTGCAAACTAAATTAGCATTTGGCATGTTGTATAGTGAAGGGAAGTATAGTAACTTAACTGCATTAAGATCTATGGGCCAGGGATTTAGTTCAGTGGTGCTGCTGCGTGCCTTGTAAACACAAGGTCCCAAGTTCAGTCCCCAGAACCAAAAAAAAAATGATCTAGTGCTTGATCCTTCTGCTCCCCACAAATTCTCTCTCTTTTACATATTCTGTATCTGGGGGAAAATGACTTTTTCTGAACATTTTGAGGAAGGAAAATGGTTGAAAGATTGGGTTCAGATCACCAGCTATGTTTCGCTACTAGTTCTAACTAGTAAAACTAGTCTTTAGACTCCAAACAGGTGGATCTCTGGTCTACTACTTCTTTGTCCTGTTACAGAGCTGATGACTTACAAATTAATTATGAAACCAAACAAGACTATTCCTTTCCTGTAATATATGTTAAAATGATTTTCTCCTTTTGGGGAATGCACTATCTGGCCTCTAATTTTGTTTTTCTTATTTCAGTTGCATAAAATAGACTACTTTGACTATTCAAAATTGAGTCCTCTTGACCAGCGCTGCTTCATCCAAGCTGCTGACCTGCTGATGGCTGACTTCAAAATGCTCAGCAGTCAGGACATTAAGTGGGCCCTGCATGAGCTCAAAGGACACTATGCAATCACCCGAAAGGTGCTCTTCTTCTTCTGTTGGGGTAACACCCTTGACTGCTTTGCCTTATGATACAGAACAAAGAGTTCCCCTACAGAGAGTGGAATGGTTTGTGATAGCTGAGAGTTACAGTTGGTCCAGGTATTTGCTGGTCAAGGAAGAACTGAAAGGGAAAGGAATGCTAGAATAGAAACAGGGAAATTCCACTTTGACCAGAAAGACCTGGAGGGCAATACACTTGACTGGAATGCAGGGTGAGTAGAGTATGAAAGATTGCTCTTCCCTGATTTACTTTGACTTGGGACAGGTGACACAACTTCCCCCAGGAGACTCCATTTCCACTTAGATGAGGTGAGGTCTGTAAGGAGCCAAGAACACAGTAGTGCCCAGTAATAGTGCTGTGTTTCAGAAATGGGTAGGCAGCTTCCAACAACTCCCAACATTTCCCCCCCCAGGGCCCTAAGGAAGATACAGCATGTGAGGGCCCCTGTTCCAGGGTACAGACAAGTGCTAGTGATTGGTTGGGTGGCACAGGAAGGCTGAGTTAGCAAGGGCCATGCAGTCTCTTCCATCATGGTGCTCAGCCAGGTCAGAGCATGAGTGTCACCATATTGTTCACTCCCACTATTAAATCCTCTTCTGCTGAGGTGTGTGTGATTTCCAGCAAAGACTGATTTTCCCCCCCCAAGGGACGACAGTGGAGCTACTTTAATGGTTCAGGTACTCACTGGACCTTTCCTGAAGGAATGTAAACCCCAAGTAAAGGCAGCTCATTCTGAGTCTAGGTCAAGCCCCACTTGACTTCAGATTGCATCGCCAAGAAGATCCAGGCAAAAAACTCCTACATAGAATTATTCCAAGGGAAAGAGTTAGTACTTTCTATATCTGAATCTCATTCCCTATGCTATATCCTAGGGAATGCCTCACTTGAAAATCGAATGAACTTTCTCCCAAAGTAGCAACCACCAGGCAATAAGGGCTGCACCTCCATCCTCACTGGCCCAGGCTAAGGCACAGTGGTAGGCATCCCCTGCCCAGGCCATGAGGTCTGGTCTTCCATGGTCCACTCCTTTGTGCAGCTTGGCTTTGTGGCTGTGTTGCAGCTAATTGGTAGATCTACACGGTCCTGAGGTAGCTTATAGACAGAGATTTATCCGAATGATCTCCCAAATGCCTTTCGGTGGCTTTCATTTTGTGATTTATGGAACATTTACTGCTTAAAGAGCTGTTCCATTCCCATACATAGTTTCTTTGTTCCCTTCCTTATACTTCTGATCATTTGCATTTTTAATAAAGGCATTTGCTTGTTTGTGGGTAGTTTGGGAGTTACATGGGCTTTGAAATGGATGACCTAGACTGTTTGAATTAAAGTGTTTAAGAGGACATGGTCTTGGGCAGAAGCTAAAGCATGATGTGACTCCTTAGGATTTAGAACTTGTTCTTGCTGTAGTTAAGTGGTGCACAAGAATTCTGCCCTGTGGACAGTGACTGTGGTAGGAACAGAGGATATGACACAGCCAGAAAGGTCTTTGAATTACAACAGTAGCACCATGATCACTCAGGAGAGTTCATGTTCATTGTGGAGATTGGGTCACATTTTCCTGAACTGGTCTTTTAGATTTTTTGGTACTAGGGATTGAATCATGGGCCTTCATAGTGAAGGACATGTGCAGGCTCCCCCCACCTTGTTTATTCATTTTTTTGTTGTGAGACAGGATTTCGCTGTAAGTAGCCAACTTGTCCCGGCTGGGCTCCAACTTACAACCTCCTGCCTCAGTCTCCCAGAGTTCTAGAATTACAGGTGTGCATCACTTTTTATAATAAATGTCATACATGTTTTATGACAAGACCCCATTTACCCATTATTCAGCTTTCATACTTATCTTGTGCTCATTTTTGTTTCATCTCTGCCCCTGCTCGTTTTCTTTCTTCCAAGACAATTTTTGAACCAAGACACAAATTTATGTTTGTTGCCATTGGTTGATAGTGTTAAGTCTCTTATAATCTGCGAGTTCTCAGTCCTTATTTTTTTCTTATAGTTGGAAAAAAATAAGCATTTTTATCCTGTAGGTTTTGGCACTCTGGATTTCTCTGACAGTACCTTCACAGTGTCATTGACTGTCCTGTGTCCTCTAAATTTCCTACAGATCACTAGTTAGATCTAGAATCTTCATCAGACATAGGTTTGATTTTTTTTTTTCTTTTTGGCCTTTTTAATTGCTGTTCTCACCCTTGTTAATCTGTGATTTAAGCAAGTGTCTTAAACTTTCTGAGCATCAGCTTTCTTGTAGTGTAGAGTGGATTCATTACAGGCTGTGACAAAAATTAGACAACAATGTGTGTAAAGCCATAACATAGCACCTGTCTTGTAGTGGGTTTTACATAGACAAGTTCTTATGCCTTCTAACTGCTTCCTGTGTGATACAGAACAACTTTTAAGCTTTAGCACTGTTGTCAGTCAGTCCTTAGTATGATATTACAAAAACCCTTCGGTGACACCCTCCTTAGGTTTGCAGCACTGAGTTCTAGCTAAAAGGGTTGTCACCCAGAGAGGGCCATCGGGAGAGAAGGCCATTATTCAGAGAGAGCTGTCACCTGGGATCTTCTTATGAAAATCTCCTGTATGTGGGCTTCTTGGTGACCTCCATGCAGCTACAATATTTCTAGGTCTTTTCTTTTTTTTTTTTTTCTAGTTTTAAACTATAAGGAACAAAAGTGATATCTCAATGTTATTTTTAATGAATGATATTTAAACCAGGTAATGCCTTAAAACTCAAGGTAGCACATTCTTCTTAAAATGAGTATTTATGTTTATCAGTTCATTTCCTTAGTTTAAAAATCATTTATTGCTAAAATGCTTATTTGTAATTTGCCCCTCTGTCAGTTTCTTCCTCTGTTCCCCAGAAGAAGCTGTTAACTCTTTTCATCTGTTTGTTCTGGAATTTGCATCTGCATTTTTGGATTCATGCTTATCCTTAATGGATCAGCTTTCAGAACTAATTAGAGCTTTGTCTTGTGTTAGGTCGGAAACCCAGATCTTAACACACACCACACACACATATCCTCATCTTTTCAGTAAATTTTTTGCTAAAACTGTGTTTTGAGTTTTATTTTAACTATGGCACTGTTCACTGCTAGGCAAATAATGTACTGTAACTACGTTTACTTCCTTAAATTTTCTGTTTATCTTAGAGTTAAAAAGCTGCCTCCATTTTTCCATTTGCTTTCGTTGTTGTCTATTTTGTTCTTGAGTTTTGACTTCCTAGTTTTCTTTCCACACCTGATAGCTCGAGCACAGTTGTTCATGTTGCCACAGCTGTCATTTCATCCCTCCATTCATTCCCCAAGTTTTCTTGCCCTCCTCCACGCCATTCTGACCATTCTCTTCATAGCTGATGCCCTGAGACTTGCCTTTACCTCATCTCAGGAATTCCCTTCACCTTGTTCCTGGCTTTTCCCTGTGCTCTAGATCCTACCCCTGTCTGCTTGATTTGCATACCTACACAGGACTGAGAGTTCCACTGGGGTGAAAATTATTTCTCTGCCTCAAATGTGACATTCAGTTTGCTGATTGCCTGTCCAGTGCATATACTGGGAACATCCTAAGAATAGTACCAGGCCTCTTCCCTCTTGGGGCGCCATACTAGTAGATTAGCGTCATTTTTTTTAACATATGCTTTAACTTCTATTCTCTTAGGTGGTCATTCTCAGGGTGTTCATGTCCTAGGTCTCCTAGAGTTCTCCTGCCATTGTGGCTTCAGTGGTCATCTTGGTCTCTGTAAAGGTGGCTTTGCCCATCTGTGGACCTAACCTCTGCCAGGCTCCAGAGCATTTGTGGCATCAGCATACTCACTGTAGTGTTTCTAGGTCAGTTCTTAAAAGAACTTTGACTAATGTCATAGATTTTCTTTTTTTATTTATTTTTTATTAGCACTGTATGTCTTTGCAGTACATGTTTACATTCTTTGTGTGAAGTTGGTACATCTTGTATGTACAAGATGTGTGTATAATACATCTTAATTCCTTTTTTCAACCCCTTTCCCCCCCATCTCTCAATCCCCTTCCCATTTGAGAAAAGATCTGTCTCCCTACTTCTATTATCTCTCTTTTATTTTGCTCTTTATTTATAATTTGGGTTTCTCATATAAGAGAAACCATATAAGATTTAAGCTTGTGTGTCTGATGTATTTCACAGCATGTATTCTCAAGGTGCATCCATTTTCCTACAAACACCTTTATGGCAGAGTAATACTACATTGTGTATAAGTAAATAACCACATTTTCTTTATGCAGTCATCTGTTGATGGTCATATAGGCTACTTCCAAGATTTAGCTATTATGAGTTGTGCTTCTGTAAACAGAAGGATACCAAGGAGGGCAATAGGTGAGTCAAATGGAATTTGTAGTCTCCATACTGATTTCCACAGTGACTGTACTAGTTCCCATTTCCAACAATGTAAATTTCTTCTTTCCTTACCAGCACTTGTTGTTATTTGATTTCCTGATGATGGCCATTCTTTCTAGAGTAAGATGAAACCTCAGTGATGTTTTAATTTGCATTTCTCTAATGTCCAGCCATGTTGAGTGTTTCTTCATATGTTTATTGGCCATTTGTACTTTTGTGAAATATCTGTTCATGTCACTTGCCTGTTCTTTATTGGATATTTTATTTTAGGAGTTCTGATTTTTTAAGTTCTTTATATATTCTAGATAGTAGTCCTCTGCCTGAGGAATAACTGGCAAAAACTTTTTCCCATTCTTTAGGTTTTCTTTTTGCCTTGTGGTTGTTTCTTTTGCTGTGCAGAAGCTTTTTAATTTGATCTGATCCAATTTGTTGATTCTCAGTACTTTTCCATTATAACCATGGTTCTAGTCAAAAAGTCCTTCTCTGTGCCTATGCTTCAGTAGTTTTACCTATTTTATGTTCCAGCAGGTTAAGTGTTTTGTTTTTCACATTTAGTTCTTTGATCCCTTTTGATTTTAGTTTAGTACATGGTGAGAGATATGGGTCTTGATTCAGTCTTGTGCATGTAGATAGTCAGTTTTCCCAAAACCATTTATTAAAGAGGCTGTCTTCCTTCCAGTGTATGTTTTTACCCCCTTTGTCAAAGAACAATAGTGGAATATACTTAAGGTAGTTTCTGCATCCTCTGTTTTATTCCATTGATCCTCATTTCTGTTTTTAAAAGTCTTACCAGACTATATATTTGGTTCTCAGAACACTTGAGTTGCTGTTTGATTTATGCATGTGAATAAGCTGAGAGGAGAAAATCTAGAAAACTAAAGGAGCACTGTTCTTGGATGCCTGTTGTTCATAGAGTCCTCCTACCTTTTTGAGTCCTTCCTGAGGGTTCTGGAGGACATTGGGAGCATGGCTTAATGGGAAAATGCATGGCTGGCATACACAAGGCCCAGGGTTCCACTCCTAGCACTGCAAAAGAAGTACACTACCAAGTAGCTTCCTTCTAAAGCACTCACGGGCTGCTGGAGAAGAGTGGTGGAGAAATGATTAAGACAGCATGAGGAGTGTGCTAAAATAGGTGAATAAATCCCTGAGAGCACTGGGAAAGAAGTGTCATTTGAGCAGAGTCTTGACAGAAAGATGTTTTCACCAGAGAAGCAATTTGTACAAAGGCTAAGAGGTGGGGCGTGTAGACTAGCTGGCTTCAGGGGAAAGGAATTCTTCTATAATTGGATTCTGTCTGGTCTACTTAACTAGGTTTTTAGTCAGTAGTAACAGAAGTGACAATTACTAATATAACTATTAAAGTAAGATTTGGGAGAGTCCTTTAATTTGTACCACATTTTTTTAATTTATGTACCACTTTCTTTACAAAGAAAGTTTATGTTCATATTACGTGGGACTTTCCCCGTGCTGTTAGAAACAATATTTAAATGAAATAATGACTCCCTTAGGCTGACAGGAACCTCTCTCTACCTGTGCCATCGCTATTCAGGAGCTGTAAGTTCCATTCCAGTCTGATTTCGTGTTGATAAGTGGCACTTGTGCTTTAATTACTTTTTGTGAAACACAAATTATGTTCCTGTATGACTTCCTGGATTCTTGCAGACAGCCCAAGTTCAAGGGTGGAGTATCTACCTTCAGGTAAAACAATAAATATTAGTAGCCTTGCAGCTCAGTACAAAAATGTAACTTTTAAGGGGCTGCACCTGTCCGGCAAGCATGAAATCCAGAGTTTGATCCCCTGTACTGAAGAAGAAAAAAAAAAGTAACTTTAAGATCTGGTAAGGTAGCCAGGCATGGTGGTGTAGGCCTATAGTCCCAGCGCTCAGTAGGCCAAGGCAGAAGGATCACCATGAGTTCCAGGCCAGTCTGCCACATAGTGAGTTTGATGCCAGCCTGTACTAGACATTGCCTCAAAAAAAAAATCTGATAAGCGATGCAGGGGAGGTAGCCAGCACTCTGAGTAAAACTGGGGAACTTCTTGTGGTGTTTTTTTTTTGTTTTCCATATAAGCGATGCAGGGGAGGTAGCCAGCACTCTGAGTAAAACTGGAAAACTTCTTGTGGTGTTTTTTTTCTTTGTTTTCCATTTGCAGTGGTAACCTTTCCCTTTCTCAATTTTTAGGCCTTTTCTGATGCCATTAAAAAATGGCAGGAACTATCACCAGAAGCCAGTGGAAAAAGGAAAAAGAGAAAAGAAATGAATCAATACTCTTACATAGATTTCAAATTCGAACAAGGTAATGGCAAGCCAAGTGTGGGGCCACAGGCAAAGCTGCAGCGCCCCACTGGCACTGAAGGAAGTTGTGTTGCCTGCTGTCTGTAGGGGACACAGGCCAGGTCCAGCAGTGACTGATAAGGACTTTTCTAGAAGGTGGCTGTGGTTGTTGGCCCTGTTCTCCCTGTTTTGGGTACATTTTGGTGGGAGAATTTTATGCAATGTTAAGAAAATTCACACATGGACCAATGAGAGCACTGTTAAGCCTAGGAAAGACAAGGCTTAAAGGTCTGATGCAAATGGCTGCATCATTAGCACCAGCCTGGCAGGCAATTGCTTACCAAGGAGTGCTCACTTTCACACCAGAGGCATGGCTGATAGCAACATGTTCCTCCAGACTGTGTTATTGCTAATGAAATGACTGCTGAAAGCCCTGATCCCCCCAAACAGTAGGCTTGAACTTTCTAACAGATTTCCTCTAAGCCAATTGTGTCCAAGAAAAGAGTTTATACAACTTTTTCCATGGATTATGTCACAAATAGGGGTACTTTTCTTTTCTGTTTCCTGGTTGTATCATGTGACTTGTGTACTTAGTACAAACCTTGATTTCAAGTGTGTCTAAGTAGAAGTACCATACAGTAACCACAGTTAGGAGGTTTGGATTTCTGGAGTCCTCAGAGTCTATATGCTCATCTCCCATTCTTGGCTCCTGAGGTCCCTCTCTTCGCTGGTTGGTGGAGCAGTGTCCTCTGACCTGTCACTCCCCCTGATCTCCGTCTCCATAGAGCGAGAAAGCAGAGACAGCGTGTAACTAAGTTAACCCAGCAATTGAAACCAGGCATCCCTAATATATGGTATTGCAGTCCTTGCTTCTGACTTTCAGTGGAAGAGAAAGCAAACCTCCTTGTTGGTCAGCTCCATCTTTTATAGAGTTCTTTCTGTCAAGTAAGAATTTACCTCCCTCACATTTCCTGTTACAGCTGCAGGTTGAGCCTCTGAAAAGCCTGGAATCTGTTGCCTCTCCACTGTCCTGACAGCCCTTCTGTGGCTTAGCAATGGGTCTCTGAAGGGTGGGGCACAAGGTCCTGTGCTCTAGCTGAGGTCTGTAATGCAGGCAGCAGTGAGCTTCAGGCTCTGTTCTTTGGTCCAGGCATCCTAAGAAACACTTTGCTTTTAAAATCTGAGCATGTCCTATGATTGACTCATGGTGTGCCTTGGTCTTTTCACCCCATTGCTTTCTCTCAGTCTGTCACATATCTCTCAGTTCTGTGGCATCCCATTTTATCGTAGTCATCTCAACTCACTTTTTAGGTATATCCTTTAATTCAGATACTGATTCTTAAATTGTACTCATTAGATTTTGGGGGGGGGGTACCGGGGATCGAACTTGGGTCCTTGAGCTTGCGCAGCAGACCCCGGAAGTGTTGAGCTAAATCCCAGGCCTTCATTAGATAATTTTTAAGGACAACAGAAGTATAAAGTATAAAATACATTTGAATTTTTTTTCTTTTTAGAGATAGGGTCTCACTATGTACTTTAGGCTGCCTTGAACTTGTGAGATCCTCCTGCCTTAGCTTCCCAACTGCCGGGACTACAGGCATATGCCACCACTCCTGGCTAGATTTTTGAAGTTTAATATTTATGACTCATGCCCTTACCAGCTTTTTATAAGCACATAAGCTAAAAATCCCTTCTCAGTTGCCAGAATCCCATTTTTTAACCTGTTCATCTTATTTTTCATCCACGCACTGCTATTTGGGCTATCCATTGCTGGGCTCAAAAAGAGACAGGAGTTTCCCTCTGCTCTCTTTTTTAATGGTTTTACATGCTGACTTCTCATGAAGAATTGAGTTAGAATTTAGAGATAGTAATCCCAGCACTCAGGAGGCTGAGGCAGGAGGATTGCTATTAATCCAGGGCCAGCCTGGGCTACATGAGTTTAAGGCCAACCTGAACTAACTCTTGTCTCAGGAAAAAGAAAAAAATGAATCTAAACCAGTCAGTAAAAACAATTATTTCCTGCCTCTAGCAAGGCTAACCAAGAGAAAAAAGAAATGCTGAATTTCAGAAATTATCATTCCCGGCAAGGGTTACATTACAGACATTCACACAGCCAGCATTCTTGTTCCCTGAGGTGGGGAACAAGGTTATCTTATATTCACTGCCATTTACATAGTATTGAAAGTACCATCCGGTACAATAAGAAAAGAGAGAGATGATAAGTACAGATCTAAAGGAAGAAATAAAAGTGGTTCTTGATGTGGATGACATAATTTTCTACCTAGTAAACCGCAAGGAATCTACTAGAGAACTACTAGAACTGATACGTGATTTCAGCAGGGTTTGTAAGACCTACCTACAAAAAGCAGTTGCATTTCTGTTTATGATGGTGCCTCAGTTCATGAACTTAATTCTTTCCATGATTCTTGTTGCAAACCAAATTAGATGAGAACTGAATCTAATTTCCCCATAAGATCAACACTAAACCTAACCATTGAATATGATTTGGTTCTTGGCCAACTTGGTTTGTAACCAGAATAGTGGAAAGAATTAAGTTTGCAAACCGAGGTACCACTGAACTAGCAATGAGCAAGTGGAAACCAAAATTTAAAATACAATACCATTTATAGCCTCTCCAAAAGCTTCCACTGAATTTGGGCTTAATAAAAATTACAAAACACTGATGAGGAGAGATTAAAGACCTAAATAAATGGAGAATACTGTATTGGTGAACTGGAAGACTCAACATAGGAAAGATGTCAGTGCTCCCCAAATTGATAGGTTTAATGCAATTTCCTTTAAAATTCCAGCAAGAATTTTGTACAGATAATCAAGTTTATCTGAAAAATTATATAGAAAAGTAAGGAAATGGCAGAGCTTAAATAATATTGTTTTGGTTTCATTTTTTATTAGTGTTTGCAGTGCATAATGATTAGAAAAAGGATATGAGAAGAATCAGTCTTCCTGGTGACTGTATGTATGTAGCTGCACTCATCTAGATTGGTTGGTATTGGAAGAGCGGAATGGAGAACTCAGAAATGATCCCACACAAATACTGGTTCATTGAGGCATAGTTCTCATCTATAGTTTTGTTTTTAGTATATGTGCAATTTATAATAATCACAATTTTATAATATTTTCTTCCTCCCAGAGAGGAACTCTGAATCATCAGTCACAAGCTGTTCCCGGTCAACTCCCCCCTTTCCCTAGAACCACTAATCTAATTCTTCTCTTCAGAGTTATGTATCCTAAACATTTCACATGGATGGACTCAGCCTGTACATGGTGTTTTGCAACTGGCTAACTAACTGGCTTCTTTCATTTAGTAAAATATTTTCAAGGTTCATTCATGTATATGTATTGACGCATTGTTCCTTTTTATTGTCATATAATATTTATTGTGTGGATTTACTACATTTCATTTATCCTTTCATCAGCTGATAAAAGCTTTTGTATCCAGTTCATTTTTTACAAATCTGCAAAAACAATTCAGTGTAGGAAAGATAGCCTTTTACATAAATGATGTTAGAACAATTGGGATGTCCATAAGAAAACAATCAAAAACCTAAGTCTCATACTTTACACAAAAATTAAACTAATATAAGCCAGCTGTAGTGGCCCATGCCTATAATCCCAGCACTCAAGAGGCTGAGGCAGGATGATTGCCATGTGTTTTGAGGCCAGCCTACATGAGTTCAAGCCCAGCCTGAACTAATATTAAAACCTTGTTTCAAAAAAACCAAAAAAGGGGCTGGGGATTTAGCTTAGCGGTGCTGCCACCTGCCTCGCAAGTGTAAGGTCCCAAGTTCAATCCCTGGTACAAAAAAAAAAAAAATTATTTTTAAACCAATATAAAATCTTTAGAGAAAAAAAAAAACATATCTTCATGTTCTGGGTCTAGGCAGAGAGTTCTTAAATATGATAACAGGAAAATTCAGACCTTTTAATCTTCAAAAGACTAGCGTGTGTGTGTGTGTGTGTGTGTGTGTGTGTGTGTGTGTGTGTGTACACACCCAGAGCCTTTTTAGCCAAGTTACATCCCTGTCTTGTTTTGGGGGTTTTTTGTTTTGTTTTGTTTTGAGCTAGGGTCTCACTAAGTCACTTAAGTTGCCAAAGCTGCAATTCTCCTGCCTCAGCCGCTCAGAATACTAGGACTACAGGTTTTCACCCATTCTTGTCTTCAAAAGATCTTTTTAAGGGCCAGCGATTTAGCTCAGTGGTTCCACTGCCTATGCAAGGCCCCAAGTTTGATCCCCGGTACCAAAAAAAAAAAGACCTTTTTAAGAGGATGAAAAGACAAACTTCAGACTGAGGTGAAATCTTTACAACCACATCTCTTGACAGAGGACTAGTGTCTGAAATATAAAGAACTGAAAACTCCACAGTAGAAAAACAACTCCAATTAGAAAATGAACAAAAGATAGATGTATCACCAAAGATAATATACAGGTGGCAGATACACAAAAGGTTTTCAGCATGACTAGCTGTTTGATAAATGCAGATGAAAAGCACAGTGAGAGATCAGTACACCTTTTAATAAGAAGTGACAGCACCAAAGCTGGTGAAGATGCAGAGAACTGTCAACTCATACATTGCCGGTGTCTGATGGTGCAGTCTTTCTGGAAAACACTTTGGCAGTTTGTTTAAAAACTAAGCTTGTTTTGGGCTGGGGATTTAGCGCAGTGGCATAGTGCCTGCCTGGCAAGGTACTGATCCCCAGTACCAAAAAAAAAAAAAAAACTGCATATGGCTACAATATGACCCAGCAGTTTTGAGCATCTATCCCAGAGAAGTGAAACTTGGCTTCACAAAAAGCCCATATGTGAGCATTCATGGCAACTTTATTCAGATAGCGCAAAACAAAGATTCCTTCAAATGGTGATGGTTAAACTGTAGCACTACCATACCATGGAAAACTTCCAGGGGCTGGGGGCTTTACAGGAAATCAAACTTGGGCTAGGCAAGCACTTTATCCCTGAGCTATAGCCCCAGCCCATACCATAGACTATTCAGCATCAAAAAGAAACTGTTACTGATATATGCAGCAAGTTGGATAAATCTCCAAAAAATTTTCCTGAGGATAAAAAAATCTAATTCCAAAAATTAATATCCTGTATGGTTTACTTAATATTCCTGAAATGACAAAATTACAGAAATGGCAAACAGATTAGTAGTTGGCAGGGACTCAGAAAAGGTTGCTGATGGAAGGGAGGGAATGTGTGGCTGTCAAGGCCACAGGAGAGATCCTCTGGATGGACCATATGTTCTGTATTGAGACTGTCACTGTCAGTATTCTGGTGGTGACATTGTACTACAGCTTTGCAGCTTGTTTTCATTCAGGGAAATCTGAGTAGGAGATCTCTCTACATCTTAACAACTGCACGTAAATCTGCAATTATTTGATAATTTACTTTAAAAGCTACATATCTCCTGGGCCGGGGATTTAGCTCAGTAGAGCTGTGCCTTCCTCGCAAGCACAAGGTCCTGAGTTGGATCCCTGGTACAAAAAAAAAAAAAAAAAAAAAAAAAAAAAAAACACAAAACAAAATGCTACATATCCCAGCACTGAGTAGACTGAGGCAGGAGGATCACTGTGAGTTTGAGGCCAACGTGGGCTACATAGTAAATTCAAGGTCATAGTGAGACTCTGCCTCAAAAAACTTTGGAGACTTAATTGCATTTGGCTGCAAGAGTGATAAACGTTTATGACTTTAACTTCAAGAACTGAGTAAAAACAAAGGAATAATAAACAGCAAAGTGTGCCAGGTGTGGTGGCTCACGCCTGTAATCCCAGCACTTGGGAGGCTGAGGCAGGAGGATTGCTGTGAGTTAGAGACCAGCCTGGGCTACATAGTGAGTTCCATGTCAGTCTCACTACATAGTGAGACTCTGTCTCGGAAAACCAAAAAAAAAGGTAAAATAAATAAATAAAAAACCACAAAGCTTAATTTTTTTCACTTAAGCAGGTGACAATAGCAGCTAACATTTATTGAGTTATTTCATACACCAAACTCTTCCTAAATGCATTATATACATTATATATTCAGTTGTGTTTCAAATAACCTTACTAGATATATATTCCATTATTATCATATTACAAATTTAAAAAACTGAAGACCAAGGAGTTTAACTCACCATGTGATACACCTAGTCCTAGCTAAGCTGAGATTCCAGCCCTGCTGATCTGACTTCAAAGCCCACTGTTTTAATACTGTGCTTTACTGTTTTCATAAAATAAAAAACTAGTTTTCAAAATAACAAGTTTAAATTTTTAAACCCTTATGAGAATGAGGGAAAAAGAATAAAAACAAAGTATGCCAAAAAATAGGTGCAGTAAATATTGTTAAAATCAAGAGATTACTAAGAACAGACTGGTAAATAAATTGAAAACCTGAACAGAATAGTTCTCTAGAACATAAGTTGCCAAATCAATGGACGAAATGTAAAACATGAACAGATCAGTTACATACCTGATATTTGTTATTCTGCTGTCTTTTATTTGAAGTGTTATTTATTGTAGTAAACTTAGGCACTCCTCTTTCAGCTTTTCTGTCTGTGTGAAGATTTTCACAATATGCATACATATAGTAATTCACATCTACTGAAAGTGGCCGAAGTTAAAAATTGATGACACCAGGTGTTAGCAAGCATGGAGGACACCTGGAACTCACACATATTGCATTCACAGGGAGGGTGTAAACTAGAACAACAACTTTGGAAAGCTGGTCTTACTTTCTAAAGCTTAAAAGTAAATATATCCCATGATTTGGTGGTTCTGCTCCTTCAGTTGAATCAGAGACATACGAGTAAACAGTTGTAAGGCACTCTGCTCATAATAACCAACAACCATATGCCCAGTGTCCTCATTGGAAGATTGGGTAATACAGTAATACCTCAGTTCACAAATTTAATTCCATGATTCTGGTCACAAACAAACTGGACAAGAACCAAATCAAACTTCCCTGTAAGGTCAACAATGAACCTAACCATTCAATTTGATTCAGTCTTTGTCCAGTTTGGTTTGAGACGACAATTACAGAAATAAGTTCACGAGCTGAGGTTCTGCTTTTTTATTCACACAGCACACTACTGACAGCATAGGAGAGCTTTCCAGTTGGAGCGTACAAAGTGGAGAAAGGCAGTGACAGGCAGAAGGTGTGTGGTAGGTTAGGAGATGAGCACAGTGTTCTCCAGACAGAATGGGTTACAGAGGGAGTCCTGAAATGTACCGGGGTGGGTGAGCATCAGAAGATGGAGTGGCCACCCTGGATTGCTACCTAGCAAACAGTTGTCTGCATGATTTTGCATTGTCATATATCTTCTAGGTAACGTCAAAATAGAAAAGAGGATGTTCTTTCTGGAAAATAAGCGGCGACATTGTAGATCCTATGACCGGCGTGCCCTCCTTCCAGCTGTGCAACAAGAACAAGAATTCTACGAGCAGAAAATCAAAGAGCTGGCAGAGGTAGGAAGACTTGCTCTGTCCTTGGGCTGTGTTTCTGCACTTCTGGCTTGCTCACAGTTAGGGCTTGATACCAAAACTGTCTTTTAAGATTTCCCCTCTCTTGTTGTTCTTACCTTCTTTGTTTTGTTTGTGGGGGTAGTGCTCAGTATCAAACCCAGAGTTAGGCAGACACCTACCACTGAACTGCATCTCCAGATCCAAGATATTTCTTCAGCGTGACTAATTACATGACAGTTTTTAAAAAGAAAAACCGAGTTTTATAATGATAGTGACTAAAGTTCAGTTTTATAAAACAGATAGCTGTTAAAGAATTTCAATTGAATAGATAATGTGAAATAGGAAGAAAAAGTTCAGAGGGGAAGAGGAAGTCAGTGGGGGTAGGGAAAAGAAAAAATAAGAGAAAAGAAAGAAAAAACGGAAACAAAGCATTTTGTAAATAGGGCCAGGAGGAGTAGAAGAGAGGGAAGGGGAATGGGGAAAAAAGAAGAACCAAGATACATCATGTACAGGTACACATTCCCAATGATGAATATGATCATAATGTACACCTAAAACATACCAATAAATTTAATGAATAAAAAAAAAGAATTTTAACTGAAGATTAGTAACATCTCTTTGACCTCCCTCAACCTCTGTTGATGGAGAAAAGCCAGAGAAAGTTTCCATTTGTAGCCTGTTTCATAGACCATTGTGACCCCAGGTCCCTCTATTCCCCAAACTCTAGGGAGTCTGTGAGGTCGCAGTTCTTTTATAATGCTAAAATATTCCTTACTGCTGGCTTTGTTCTGCTGTGTGGAATTTGCACTGACAGAACCACTGTGAGGATGACTTAGCTGGAATCGGGCCAGGATTGTCCTCACATTTGTTTAAATGCCAGTTTCACTCAAAGGTGTTTTTGATAAAGAAGTGTGGCTTCATAAAATTTTGGACCCCCCCCCAGACATCTTTTCAGTATTTTGTGTGACAAAATGACAATGATATGGAAAGTTTTCCTACTGCACATGGGCAAATGATGCTTGTGTTGAACAGAGGCACTTTTGTTACTGAGTTGAAGGTGACTAAATTAGCCTTTTGGTTTTTCACTGCATACCACCTTTTTTACTTGAAAAATTCACTTGATTTACGGAAAAACTGATTAACACATTTATGACAGGGCTATAATTCATGTGCCTCACTGCCAGATGGCTTGAACCACTGGTGGTACATGCATGATTGTACACTTCTGCCACTGGTGGTACAAGCCACCCAATGGGGCAGTCACACATGTACAGCCATTGGTTTGAGCCAGCAGGAACATGTTAATCAAGATTGCTTTTTTGAGCCAGGTGTGGTGGGGCACGCCTGTAATCCCAGCACTCTTTGGGAGGTTGAGGCAGGAGGATGCTGAGAGTTTGAGACCAGCCTAGGCTACACAATGAGTTCCAGAGCAGTCTGAACTATATAGTGAGACTCTGTCTCAAAAAACCAAAAAAAAAAAAAAGATTGCTTATTTGGCAGATATTTTCTCAAGTGAATTAAGTAGCTTTTTTTCTTTCAGTTCTGAAGATTGATCTCAAGGAGCACTGGGCTACATCCCAAGTCCCCACTACCACTCACCCACACATATATACACAAACTTTTTTTTTACTCCCCTGCCCTTTCTTAAAATTTTTTTTTCCTTTCTTAAAATGTTTATTTTGAGACCGTCTCACTAAATTGCCCCAGCTGGCCTCAAACTTGGGATACTATTTCCTAAGCCTCCCACTTAGCTTGGATTACGGGTGTGACTGCATCCAACCAAATGATTTTTTTGTGGGGATGGGTATCAGGGATCGAACTCAGGACGACAAGCGCGAGCCACTGAACTAAATCCTCAGCTCTGAGATTATTATTTTTGACCAGAGATGAAAGTCTAGATCTCAGGCAAACAGAATTTGAGGAAAGTTGTGATCCATCTTTCACAGAAGCACATTTGCTAATGTTACTACTGATCACATCACAAAAGTATTTTAAAAATTGGCAAACCAGTTCAAGACCAGCCTGGGCTACATAGTGAGTTCCAGGTCAGTCTCAACTACATAGTGAGACCCTGTCTCAAAAAAAAAAAAAAGAAAAAAAAAAAAAGTTGGCAAACTGGTGGATGTTAATCAGAGTCATTACTCTTCTGTATGTCCAAATTGTCCCCTTTCTGACCAGTGACAGACAACCCTTCAGGTTAGTCCCTCTGTCCTGACCCCAGTAGTTTCTGACCTTGCTTTGTGGTGTGGCAGAGTGACCCAGATTCAACTTTTGCATTCTCTGACCTCGACGTGGAATCAACAGTTTCTCTGAAACTGCTTTATTTTCTTTACTGGGAATTTTATGCTGAGATTTCTGTTTAGAACTTGGTTTATGGGTTGGTTGTTTTTTTTAACCCTTTCACTTTATGTTTCTAATTTTTGTTTTTTAATGCTAAAAATCTTGCTTCTTAGTAACATAATTCTTTTCAGATTATATCAAATTAAGAATATAAAATTAGAGAAAAAATATATAAAATTAGGTGTAGTGGCATGCATCTATAATCCCAGCTATTCAGAAGGCTGAGGCAGGAGGGTAATTGCTTGAACCCCCAAGTTTGAGGTCACCCTCAACAACATACCATAGTTGCTGCCTTGTAAGAAAAGAAAAACAAAAATGAAAGAAAAAGAATACAAACTCAGAACCTACTATACTGTATTTTAAAGTCATTTGAAACCTGGGTGTGGTGGTGCACACCTGTAATCCCAGCACCTGTGAGGCTGAGACAGGAAGATTGCTGCAGGTTCAAGGCCAGCCTAAACTACTTAGGGAGACTGTCAGAAAAGTCATTTGATATGTCTGGTAATGCTGCTAATTTGAAAAATTAAGTCTGTTGATTTCTGCTTGTTTTTGGCTTTTAGGGAATTAGCTTTTTGTTTTATTTTCAGCCAGGGATTTAGCTCAGTGGCTGGCAAGCGCAGGGTTCTAAGTTCTCTAGTACTCAAAAATAAATAAATTAAATAATTTTAGTTCTAAAGTCAAAACTATAAAATAGGAAATGTCCACAGGTCTAGTTCCTACCTTGTCCCTCCAAAATGTTCTATTACCCTCTCCATGTTTAACCTTGCTACTTGTTTTTGGTTTATCTTTCATGTACAAGCAAATATGTATATGTATTTTCTTATTTCCCTCTTTTTTTTTTTTTTTTTTTTTTTT